TAAAGTGCTTTACACAAATATTAAAACATATAATGCCCATTGGCGCATTCGCATTTAAGAACATTAATAAAAGTCTGCAAAAAGCCAAGGGAATTTAAAGTAAAACAAGCTAAAAGGCAATAATACTAGTTTAAAAGTGTAGTGTAGGACATGAATACTTTGATTTAATAAAAGGCAGTGACAACAAGAAAACTCTTCAGCCTTGAGGAAGAATATAAATGTTAAATTAATGAATGGTGAGAAAGTTGAATAAATCCATCTTTTAATTTGTTTTCAGACGTTGAAATAGATATTAGAGACGGGAGTATCACCTGTTTGACTTCATAAGCAGATTTTAATACATCCTTAATGCCCAGAAATGTTGAATATTGCAAATATTGAAGTATTATCTATTTCTTAATGGTATGAATTTCAAGTTGTCATACACATGTTCACTATAGATGGCAATTACTTGGCAAAAAAATAAATAAAAAGCCTTTTCACCCAAAGATTTATCAGGAATTGATGACGTTATAGATATTAATGAGATCAATACCCATCGGCAGCTGGAGGGCAACTTCCCGTCTGACCCCGGGGCTTTAAAGTGAGCATTTTCTGTTGCAAAGAGTAAGCTGCAGAAGATTACACTCTTCGTGGAGCTTTATGAAGAGTGTGTGTGTGTGTGTGTGTGTGTGTGTGTGTGTGTGTGTGTGTGTGTGTGTGTGTGTGTGTGTGTGCGTGCGTGCGCGTGCGTGCGTGTGTGTGTGTGTGTGTGTGTGTGTGTGTGTGTGTGTGTGTGTGTGTGTGTGTGTGTGTGTGTGTGTGTGTGTGTATATTTATTATTCACCGTACAGCTTGAAGTAACCTGGTAGTCAAATATTACACACGTGTGCTGTGAGCCATAAATAACACGGTTAAATCACGTGAAGGAGAACACACATTTATTTAGTTCATCCATCATTTTATCAATCCATGTAATTGATTGGATCGATTGATCAAGGAGGGGAGGGGGGATGATTGATGGAGCAGGGGAAGAAACTCACCTGATTGAAATTCAGAAGCTCGAGACTCAAAAAGGTCAAGGGTCGCAGCGAGAGACATTTACAAGCACAGCGTCCTCCGAGTGGGTCCTCAGGAATCATCAAGTGTGTGTGTGTGTGTGTGTGTGTGTGTGTGTGTGTGTGTGTGTGTGTGTGTGTGTGTGTGTGTGTGTGTGTGTGTGTGTGTGTGTGTGTGTGTGTGTGTGTGTGTGTGTGTGTGTGTGTGTGTGTGTGTGTGTATCATGCTTGGCCTTGTGATCGCGGCGGGTTAAGTGATGCCGAAAGTCCAATAATAAATCTCTGACGCAACGAGAACACATGACCTGAAGGTCGCCGTTTCATTAACTGTCTTTCACTTTGATTTTCCCATCACTCCTTCCTGTCTGCTCGCCTCACACACCTCGACTAAACCAGAGGAGCACACACATGATGAGGATCACGGGACAAATAAACTGCACAGGTCGACATTATCGGGAAATATTCACTATTTTAGTGGCGGAAAATTAGATATAAGATGTGTTTGTTAAATATGATTCTGCAGCAATGAGACGGTTAGCATAGCTTAGCATAAAGACTAACAGCTAGCCTGGTTTGCTACCAAGGTCAAACCCACTTACCAGCAACATTACATCTCCTTTAGTCCACTTGCTTTTGCTTCATATTTACCTTACATGTATTAAAGGGAATCAATCGTCTCATTGAGCTTGAAGATTTTCCTAAAATGTCCGTCCAACAGTTTTTATTTTAAAAGGTTCGCAGCTAACACCCGTAATATTGATTTGTCGCAAGTTAAATAATTTCTACGCTACAATGGCACATTTTCCAAGGGGTTAATCTCGCCTCTCAATGTGAATATATGATTATAAGCGACCATATTGTCTGTATAACGGACAGCTTTGATTCACTTCTGAGGAAACTGAGAGACGAGAAATGATAGACGTCTGTGTCTTGCTCTTAAAAAGAAAAATCACTTTCTTTGTCGACGTTTACGGCTCACCAAGCAGAGCATTGCTTTCCCATCAGACAAATAAAACGTTGTTCACTACCAGTTAGCAGCACCAAGGCCAGAGGGGCCACCTTAAATTGAACCGCAGTTCCTGTTGAGCCTTTTAAAGATAGGATCCTTTGAGTTTAGTTGAAAGCAACAATTAATCGTGAGTATAGGCAGTGAAAGCCTCAGAGGCTCTTCTGAATGCTTTTGTGTTCACATGAATGTTTTACGGCGTCAAGGAGAGAAGCTTTGCTGCAGCCTTGAAGATTTGTTCCAGGCTTTCACCTAGAGTTTCTCGAGCTAATGCACGCTAAAGGGTCATTGAAATTGTTTTCTCTCAGTGATTGTGCTGTTATGTTAAATGTTTGTTGTTCATGTATTTCATGTCAAATGTCAGACTTGATCTGACCATTAAAGTATCATCGTATCGTAGTTTCAGACCAAGACTCTCTTCATGCAGCGAGTGTCATCATCACACACACCGAATGACCTGTTTTTTTTTTTTGTCCGGAGAGCACACACACACACTGAAGCTCTGACTCATGTCTAGACAGAAAAGTTGGGGCGGACATAAAGGCGGTGACATTTATGCAAGAGGTTCCCGCTGTGCAATCAGACCTCATGTTCCACACTGGGCTCAGTCAGAGGTAGCCAACAGTCAGAGTACATGTGAAGCCTTTTTGTGTTCCCTGTATTCTCCTCGTCCAAAGAATGCAGCCCACAGCTCACAGCTAACAGGCTTCTTTAAAAGGCACTGCTGCTGCTCTGGAATCAAATGGAATCAGCAGGATGGATAATTTTCAAATAACGGTGATTTTCATGGCATGGCGACAAGGTGGCGACCATTAAAGCAAACTTCTAGCTCAGAAATTGGTACATAAGTACATTATCCCGCTGCTTCTGTAATAGGTTCCATTATTATTTCCCTTGTATCGGGTTTAAAAATAGTTGGAATAAGGTGCTGCGTTCGAGGCTGATGAATGTGATATTCTGCCTGGGTATACGTCCCTGCACAGCGGGCACTCAGAAACGATGACGTGGAAGAACAGAGATTGTTCAAGAGTCAATTTCTGTCTTGTGTGAAGTCATCTGAGGAGTGATATTGAATCTGCGGGGAGACTGTGAAGTTCCAGCAGCAAGACGAGGTAACGCACCTCAGCCTGTTGATGTAATTTACTGCAACAGAGTAAAAAAAAGATGACTTTCAAAACTTTACCAGACGCTTCCCTGATCTTATTCAGCTGACAAAACCTATGGCATCAGCTTTGTTAAGGTTTTTTATTCTCAGTTTGGTTAAGGATTATCGTCCCAGACGGTGTTTAGAAACCTTTCCTCAGGATATTTATAATGTGCTATTCATCTCTTAAGCTTCAGATGTGTTTTTTGTTCTGCCACGGCACAAGGGAACAACAATAAGACTTAAACGTATTTGTTGAGCTCAGTTTTTATCCGTGGTGTTTTGTTATTTCATCTTATATAAGTCTTTAGTGACTCCACAGTGAGCTTATTGCCTTTCAGTTTTAGTTAGACCGGCTGTGACTCCCCCAGAAAACATGCTTTCACAGACACTTTGTCCAAGAAAGAGTATCTGGTCTTATTATATGAAACCTCATTTTAAAAAATGACTGTCAAAGTTGCAGTAAAATACAGCTGCGTGTTCTTCTGATTAGCATGTTGAATGAAACCCCGGGAGAGCGTCTTGACCCCGCTCCTCTCACATTGCCTGCAAAGACTTAATTGCCAGTAAATTTGGTTGATTCCAGAGTTTGACTCATACAGCTCTAATGGGGGTGTTTTGCATAAGTGGGCTCATTCTCATCATTTGGTTAGCATAACAGCAATTTAGAGCTGTGCCTTTTTGGGTCAAAATGAGTTTTTCAGTTACATAATGCACTCTACTATCACAGATTTTAATTTGGCTGGAAAAGGCTTTTGCACACAGCTTTAATTAGTTTACTGGAAGTAGGAAATATAGGGTTATATTACGCTATTAAATGCATAAAGCCCACATGTAAAGGCCCGGACACACCAAGCTGACACCAAAGAACTGACACAGACGGACCCGACCTTGCGTCTCTGCGTCTTGGCCAACAGTCGCACTGGAACACACCGCAAAGACTTCAGCCGACGGCCAAGTAGCACGTACGAACTGCGCATGCGTGAGTGGCAATAACTCTCCTTACCAGCAGGCGGCGGTAGTGTGTATTCGTCGGCCTGACGCCCACCGACGGCCAAAATCAGCTTGGTGTGTCCGGGCCTTAACCCTTAACATTTTAGCCATGCTTGCAACACTACTTACAGATTGACATTTTTCAACATTTTTCAGAGGGATTGACATAAATGTGAAGCTTATTGCCTTCCTCATAATAGTAGATTACAATACAATAGTTCCATGTATTTGGTATATGCATAACAAATTTGAAAAAACAAGCAACATTCACATCAGCCTAAACTGTATGTAGTTGTAATTAGAAATGTTGGTGAGCATGCTACCGTAAAATGCTAAATTAGGATGACTGTAGCAAACATTATACATCCTTAACATCAGTGTGTAAGGATTATCACTGTGTGTGCTTTAGCATGCTGGTTCCCATACAGCAAAACTCAATTGTTATGTCATGTGAGGGAAACATGTTCTCCCGAATTAAATTGAAATAACTTAACGTTGACTTTTGGATTTCATGAAGGAACCTCACACAGGTCACTCTTTAAACGTTGTCCCTTGAACTCTTTGCACCCATCATAATGACTACAGCCACTACAGCGCGTATATAATAAAACGTAAATATGTAAAAGTCCTTAATTAGGTTGTTTTTCGGGTTCAAATGCAGACATTGGAGTGCTGCAAAGCCAAGTTAATTTAGGAAGAGAGCCATTTTGTGTACAGGAAGTCCCTCTGCACACCTGGTTGTTTTTGCTTCAGTTTGAATGTTATTTTCATGTATTAACAATGAATGCCCCCCCCCCCCTCTCTTCTGTTTTCTCCTCAGATCCGGACTTCGCAGACCAGGGAGTCCCCCCCCCTCTCCCCTGTAGGTATTCTCTCTCTCTCTCTCTCTCTCTCTCTCTCTCTCTCTCTCTCTCTCTCTCTCTCTCTCTCTCTCTCTCTCTCTCTCTCTCTCTCTCTCTCTTTGCCTCTCATGTTTCAACTCATTTTACCTCAAAAAGCATATTTATACTGTGTCTTCTCTTCTCCAGTTAAATGCTATTTTTTGTGTAACTGAATCCGAATACTTTATAACCCCCAGGGAAATTAGGTTTTGTGATAGTCCAACATTTTTTAAATATATCAATTTAAAATAAAAAATTGAAAGAAGAATGTGAGATACAAATATACAGTATAATACAATAAATATATTTAAATAAAAGTGAGAAGTTACCCTAAAATGTAAAAGAAAATTATGTATACATGTTTTTCTAAATGGATACAGTGGTGTTTAAGCAATAACAGAAATAGGTCCTAGGTAAATGTTATTTTTTATATTTTCTGAATCAGTATACGTTATTAATCCTGGGGAAATTAGGTTTTGTGATTGTCCATTTTAGATTGAAATAAATACATAATATATATATAAATAAGAATATCAGAAAATACAATTCAAATTAAAACTTTCCCTAAAATAAAAATAAAAACTACGTACATAAGCATAATACGTTAAAATTCAAAAAGTGTACATTGCATTCATTATGTAACATGGTTTTAATATATATACAGTGGAGTATAAGCAATAACAGAAATAGGTCGTATATGTCTGTTTGTTGTGGTTCCACGTGTGTTAGTTAGCTTATCCACACCTGTATATGTGTGTGTGTGTGTGTGTGTGTGTGTTTATGCCTGTGTGTGTGTTGCAGCCTGTCAGTATGACATGGTGGGTCCAGAAGGAATCGTAGAGTCTCATCAGATCACCAGAGACGGGAAGGCGAGCGCCTCGGAGGCCGTGGACTGTAAATGGTACATCAGAGCTCCACCTCGCTCCAAGGTGAGTCACTGTTAGAGCCAGTGTTTTGTTTTTATAAGAAAGGCCACCTAATCGTGACGTTTGTAGTCAACCAGAGTATAAAAGACTACAATTCCCATGGCACTAGTGTTCATTTCGTTGACTAAAACTATGACGAAATATGTTCGTCAACGACCTTTTTTTCCATGACTAAGACGAGACGATATTTGGGCCCATTTTCGCTACAATGAGGCGGAGAAAAAAAGCGAATGCATTGCTTTATCAGAAGGGAAGCAATGTGGCCATAACACAGGTAAAACACCACAAACCATATACTCTCTGCAAAGCTGCATTCTTATGCGTTTTTCATCAAATAAGGATAAGATATAATCTTATTATGAAATAAGTTTGACGCAAATGACAAATTATTGGTTTTGGCTAGACTAGTTTGCCTGAAATGTTCAATATCTGATGACTAAAAAATACTAAAATGTCAACAGTTTTCATTGACAAAAAGTAGACCAAAATAGTTAGTTTTATTTGACTAAAATAAGACTAAAATGCTCAGACTTTTAGTCGACTAAAACTTGACTAAATAAAAACAGGATGAAGGTGACTAAATATGATTTAGGACTAAGACTAAATAAAAAATAGCTGACTAAATGAACACTACATGGCACCTCCTCTAAAGTACAGGGTCCCCGCGGATCCTTAAAAAGTCTTAAAAGTCTTACATTTATTTTTTTGATATTCAAGGTCTAAAAAGCTCTGGAATTTTAGGAGGGGAGGTATTAAATGTTATCTGGGGAATGAGTGCAGGGGGCACATTGGTTTCCATTGGTCTACTGCCATACCATTTTTTCTTTTTTGTTAATGCGAAGGCAGTCATGTTGGGTAATGTGCACTGAATATTTCCCATTATTCAAATGCAATAAAACTCAGTAACGGTTTATACTGTTGTCTAGTTCATCGATTTTTTTGTAGTGGTATTATTTTTTCCTTTTAGAGGTCTTAAACAGGTCTTACAAGTCATTACATTTGTACTTAAAGAAATGTGCAGATACCCTGAAAGTGACAGTGATGAGCAACCTGCTAGAAAGACAGTTTTTAACAATGTCGTGGCTTCCTTCCTTCCTTGTCTTTCTATCAAGCCACAAGACGCCTTAAACAGACATTTTTTAACTCGTTCAATTACCCTTTAAGTTATCTAGTTATATAAGCCTTATCAAGAAAGAAATAATATCGTTGTTTGTTATTTTATTTGAGTTTTGCCATTACTGCAGAATCTGGAAATGTCACACAGAACAAAATGGAAATGTAATTGTGTTGGGATGGAGACAGCAGCAGACGAGAATAGACCCTGGAAAATACATCTCTGGGAAACTTTCAGCCCCAACTTTAAGACTCTATTGAGCATTTTTTTTATCTTAATTTGATGTTTCCACTTTGCATTCCCTCACACCCGCCTCTGGATCAGTGGTTGCATCAGGAAGCTTTGATTCTGCTGCTGGGTTAGTGTGCAGCTGTCAGCAGGGTGTGAGGGTTGGTGGCTGCGGGGGGATTGTACCTCTGCTGGGGTCAGACAGATACGAGCAGGGTTTACTCCAGGTCAGGCCCCCCCTTTTTTTTGTAATCAGCAAGCTGTTGCCAAGAGGAATGAAGGGATGGAAGCAGACGGAGAGACGGAGGGAGAGTTAGCGCTGATGAAACAGCGTTGCCATGCAGTTTGACCCCGAGGACTCCTACAGCCTGTATTTGTTTTCCCTGCAAGTCTTCTCCACGCATGCACAAACAAATACTGACACACACAAACACACCTTTACTACATCCCAGACATGCTTTTTTCTCATCTACACGAGCTACCTGCAATGCATTAAAGCTAACGGATTAAAAGTGTCCCCGAGCAGCAGTAGGAAAAACCACATTTAACAAACTCTAAAACTCCTCATGTGGCTCGATCATATACGCATTGCAGTAAATCTACTCCTGGAATAGTGTAGCAGGACTTGATTTAAAAGAATAAAGCCACGCTTTTACTTTGGCTTTGGACAGAATTGAGGAGGCTTGCAGTTTGTTTACAGTTTAAAAGGTTTGGTTGGCTTTTTTCGTAACTAAAAAGCTTTTTTAAGATGTCATTTCAGACATTTGAGCCTATAAGAATGTAAAAACGCGGATAGAAAAACATCCTTCAACCCTTATAATACATTTTATTTATCAAGCGCTATATCAGGAGCTCAAGGACACAGCTTTAATCACACATTAAAAGCTAGTCTGAAAAGGTGAGTTTTGAAGGTTGGGAGGTCAGTGCAGTCTCTGATTTGTTGTGGGAGTGATTTCCTAAAGGTTATACCAAGGTTATAGCAAGAAATAAAATCAACACATGTGAAATAGTGACTTACTATGAAGGTTTTTCACTTTGGGATCAGTCCTCAGAGTGTGTGCAGAGTGAAATAATGCAGCTGCTTAACCGCGTCACTATCAGTTTCACTAATTCAGCGCAAGATGTTATCCTCCGCCACCACAGAGCTCTTTCTCCAGTCACACAGCACACATTAGGGAAGCTATTAAACTTTCTCCCATCCCTGATGACGACTTGCACTTTTTCCATGCAGGTCTTTCACACTGTGCTGCACATACACACACACTCGTATGAAATGCCCTGCTGATAATATTGCTGTGATTCATGGCCACAGCAATTTCTTAGCTTCTTATCTGACGTATTATTCGGGTCGCATATTTCTCCTGCTTCCGCCCATGGTTCCCGTTCAGAAACGTCCTTCGAATTTTTCTTTTACTTTCATGCCCAAGGCCACGAGAACTAAAAGACTGCGACATCCACCCAGAGCCCATTCTCCTTACCATCAGCACTCATGTGGAGCCAGCCAATAAACTTTGCAGCAGGTATAGGAGGGACCCTGGCCCCGGCTTAATGTTAAGGTCGATGCAAAAAAATGCAGCATTGATTCCTCCGTGCCTCTAAGTGGTTTGCATACGTCAGCCAGTACATGTCGGCTGCAGAACCAACGAGGACAATAAGTCAATTTTGCGCGAAATAGCATTGTGTGTGTGTGTGTGTGTGTGTGTGTGTGTGTGTGTGTGTGTGTGTGTGTGTGTGTGTGTGTGTGTGTGTGTGTGTGTGTGTGTGTGGTGTGTGTGTGTGTGTGTGTGTGGTGTGTGTGTGTGGTGCGTGCGTGCGTGCGTGCGTGCGTGCGTGTGTTGAGGACGTGCAGGAGAAGTTTGCAGTGCGTGCCTCAGAAGTGCGTGCGGCTGGTGGCGCATTGGCCGGCAGTGAACGGAGGGAGGAGTGTGTGTGTGTGTGTGTGTGTGTGTGTGTGTGTGTGTGTGTGTGTGTGTGTGTGTGTGTGTGGCTGGCTGTGTATGAAAGAGTGATGGAGCCTGGCAGTATGATGTATTTTCCTCCGTCTGTATCAGTGTCATATTCAGCCCTGCAGGAGTGTCTCGCAGGGCAAACGCCTGACTGTCATTGGTTCTGATGGACAAGGAAGCAAATAAAAATGTTAGCACGGATCTGTCTATAGTCAGTCCTGAAGATCTCACACCCACCACCACCGCTCGCTCTCAATTACCCATAAAAATGTACTCTACTGTCTTTTTAAAACACACACATGCTGCAGTGAGAGACCGCTGTGTACAGTAGGCGTGATTTTATGACTATGCTGATACAGTACTGCACTTCACCCAATGTGCCTGAAACAGCAGAGAGATAATGACATCCTACACTGGAGGCTCTAATTAAACCGGAGCACTCCAGAGAGAAGGCAGGAGAGGGGAGGAGGAAGAAAGGGAAAGATATACTTAATAATGCATTTTATCAAATATCTAAATGCACTAAGAGGAGGTTTAAGGGTGACACAGAACGGGGACACAGACTGAAAAATATACCTGCTGCAAGTAAGCAGTAATGACCATGTGTTGTTGCCAGAAGTGACAGCACTGCAGCAGTTTGAATGCCATAATGGGATTGCTTTACACCACCTTGTGTCATTTGAATTCCTTCCCGTAAATGAGTTCTGCAGGACTACCTCGAATGAAATTAATTCGTTTTATAGGTGTCCAAAGTAACGTGAAGCATGCAGTTGAAGGCAACACAATATCACCTTTTAATATACATACACAAAACTCTCATCTTCTGCTCTCTGTTTGCATCAATTCTTCTTCTCAGCTGTCTGAATTCAGCTGACAGCTGTTAGTTGTCGATGAATATTTCCCGCATTTTGACACATAACAGTTGCTGCATTCATCATGTGTGTCTCGTCTGTTTTTCACCATCTGGCCTTCACTGTCTGACACCTTCCTGATGATAATGGCCAAAATATGGACATTCATACCGACTATAATGAACAGCATGCACGCTGCGACAAGCCCCTTTTAAGGAAACACTGAGAACATATTCTGCCCCAGTCAGTGATGGATTCTGCGTCGTTATTGGGCGCTGCAGAATCAATGAGGAGGCAGCCTATTTTCCTGCAGGAGAGCAATCTCTCGCCTTACAAATTGGTGATTGTATCTATCTGATCCATTGCCGTCATTTGGGTTTGTGATGGCGTCTGCAGTCTGATTTGTCTTCATCATCGGCCAGTTAGAAGTGTTCTGACACAAGAAAAACCCAAACTCTTTTTGCAGCATGTCCCTCTTTAAAGTAACAAGCATCTATCAGACATTACTCAAGTGCATGCAAATGTTAGGAGCATATATCACAGGCATGAAAATGCTAGTTCTTGTTTTTCCTTGATAAACTCAGCGGGAGATGCACACGAGCAAAATGGGAACAAGGTACCATTTCCATGTCATAAAAACAAGACATTTCTGATGTAGGACTACAGTCATCTTTTACAACATAAAAGGGTTTGCTGTACGTAGCAGCATGGTCCAGTATTTTATGGTTTCATCATTGTGTTGGTAACGCTAAAAACCAATAATTGAAAATGTTTTGTGTTTCTTGGTTCTTACAAGTGAAACCTGCAACTGTCAGCACTAACAAAGCTAGCTGTTTCCTTCTGTCCTGCACTTTAACAGTTCATACAGTTGCATTTTAAGATACGGTAGTACATCTGTAGTGCTTATGTTCTATTGAAATGTGTTGTTTTCCCAACCATAATGCAACAAAATCAGCACCATGCTTCTTATTACAAGTCAGTGAAGCGTCAATATGTTTGTAAAGGTGTTACTTAATGGTGCATATGAATAGTTGTATCAAATCATGTGCTATTCATCAAGTATATTTTGAAATAGTTCACAGAAAAAGCATAATATGGCATCTTTATAATTCGAATATTCATCCTCTGGACCATGAATGTGTACAAAGTTTCCATCTCTGGATTCAAAAACACATGCAAATCAAACAAATTAGTTACAGTACTTTGGTCAATGTGGAGGATTATGCTTTTAAACCATTGACATTTTAACCAGCCATTACCACCACATGAAGTCTCTTAAAACCAGTACACTTAATCAACAATGTGTTGTGTTTGTAATGGGTCTCTACATATTGAATTAGCTTTTACTGGTTACAGACGGCTGCTCTAAGTGCAGTCTTTGTGCTGCGGGTGGAAAACCTCTGGTCTGATTTACCTGCTGCTCGCTGACGAGAGAACGAGCGAGCTAATTAACATGCTGATAGCTACCTCTCCCCATTACTGGCCTCTTGAACCTTGACTGTAACCTTAACAATAACCCATGAAATCAGTCCTCTTTGGCAACGAGCCGCATGGAATGGCGACCTTGGGTCCCTTGAAAGGTGCTATATAAATGCAAGCTATTATTATTATTATATTATTATTATTAATGGAGCCATTTTTAATAACATTGTCCACCCATAAAACCTACTTTCCTCGTTCTTAATGCAAGTGATTGCTGACCGTTTTCTTCCAAAAAGTCCTTCATACTTTGAAAGTGAAGGCATGTAAAGACTCGGATCACTGAGCTGATCGTTGATTCTTTCTGAGTTCATCCACCTTATTGAGAAACCGTATTTTATATCTCAATTGTTCACATTTCATTTTGGGAATCCGTGCAATACTGGATAGAGATAGACCATCGCAAAAGCATTTCACTGTAAAGTCTTCAGAGCCTCTTCCATCATGAGGCCCTCTCCTGCTGGGATTAAGACATTAATATCAATACAAGGACACATTCATTTCAGGAAAGACACACACACACACATGCACACACACACACAGGCTCCCCATACGTTTATCTCCTCGTACATTCATCTTCGTGCTGTGAGGCCAGCAGTGACATTGAGCAGAATGTATTCCGGTATTGCAGCATGAAAGACCAATACAACGCTGATTCTTGTGCCTAAACAGTGGCTGAATATGACAAATCTGGAGGTGGAAGATTATTGACACTAATATAAAACCCCGGGGGAAATCGACTCGCTTGCCCCCCCCCCCCCCTCTCTCTCTCAGATCCATTTCACCTGTCATGTTGTTGAAAGCGAATTCGGTCCATTATCCTCCTCCATCTGCAGCTTTCCTCGCTGGGCATTTGAGCGGTCACATTTCGCTGTCACACAATTAACCGCCGTAATGATGGCGAGTGTTGTGAGCATCGGACCAGAACCAGAACTGTGATAGGACGATCTCTGCCTGATGAATGAGTGACAGACAATGATACACGGGCAATAGGGAAGTAACGAGGGATTGTTAGTATCATTAAATAGTCCTTATATCTGCCATGCTTTTAATACATGTGTTTGAAGTCCATTCTTTTCAAATAAAGGGTCTGAAATTAACTTTGTATGGAGGACACCTTTCTTTCTCTCGTGGTAAAATGTAACAAGGTGTTAGCTTTATCTCAACAGATATGAATAATGAGTCTTAAGCTAATGGCCTCTGTCAGTCTGAGTCCTCATTTGATACGAGTGTGTAATGACTTTGTACAAGAAGCAGTCTGTCGGTCCGGTGTCATCACAGAGCCGCTTCATCAGGCGCTGGATAATCAGTCAAATGAAGGAGCTGGATTATTTCCCCCGTCATGTCCTCATGTCTTTAAACCTCCCCTTTGTTTTGGACAGATCTACCTGCGATTCCTCGACTATGAAATGGCCAACTCCAACGAGTGCAAGCGCAATTTTGTGGCTGTGTATGACGGTGGCAGGTGAGACATTTCAACCTTTCAGTCAGATAAATCATGCTCAGACTCATTATCTCCGGATCAAGACTTAATCATGTCATTAACTGAACATAACAACTGACAATTTAGTTTTTCGTGAACAGTTAAATATTTAATTATGTAAAGACAAGACATTAATGGTTTTGACATCTTGATCCTCCTTAGCAACGGTCATTACAGTCCTTAGCAACGGTCATTACAGTCCTTGACAGCGGTCTGTTCTACTGGATTAACAACGTGTCACATGTTCTGAATTGACCAATCATAACTTTATTTAGCCTCCGTATTGTTTATGGTTGAATGTGGGCCACGAAATTTGTTTAGATTCTTAAGTGGGCCCTGAGTTGAAAAAGGTTGGGAACCGCTGAGTGAGGGGCTTAAGATATCAAAGAAATGCTTCACATTCACAAGATTCATATTGAGATTGTTGATGGTTATTTCCTCTCCTCCTCTCAGTTCGGTGGAGGACCTGAAGAACAAGTTCTGCTCCACCGTGGCCAACGACATCATGCTGGTCTCCACGCTGGGAGTCATCCGCATGTGGGCGGACGAGGCCAGCCGCAAGAGCCGCTTCCGCATCCTGTTCACCACCTACCAAGAGCGTGAGATATCTGCACTCACACACACACTGTCATAAAGATGTTTACTGCAGCATGACCCCCCCATCTGAGGGAAACTGATTAGCCTTATTAATCAGACCACCGCTCCATGACAGGAAGGCAGAGTAAAAAACAAGTCTGGTGTTTAGTGGTCGCCATTAAAGGCAGGAGGAGGTGGAGTGACCACGTTTATGGCGACTTATATCCCACGCTGTTAATAGGAAAGGTGCTGTCACAGGTTTCCATTTAGTTTTATGAGCGTTTAAACTGCAGCAAGCAGGAAACGGAGGTATGTGATTTCCATTATAGGGAATATCGCCTCCGGGTTAGTGTGCATATGATAGCATTGGTGGATTTAGCTCAGCCAGCACTGTTCTTTATGGATGCAGAGAGAGAGTGAGACACAGGATGAGCTACAGTATGTACACACACACACTTTCACACACACACAAACACACTTTCACACACACAGTAACTCTTCCTCTTGCTCCTCACTGATGGCAGCGTGTAGTTTGACAGGGGTTGCAGAGGGCATCCTTTGTACTAGTGAGGTGAATGGAGAGGGTCTGAGGCTTCAGTATACAGTATGTCAATGTCAGCTCCTTTAAATGCCACACACACACACACACACCCACACACACACACACACACACACACACACACACACACACACACACACACACACACACACACACACACACACACAACATTTTTTAGTATAACGTGATGAATGGTGCATTCATGTGCTCCTCTGATGGTCCGTTTTTCCCAAATTCGGGAAGTCCGATTTTGGTGTTTATAAGTCACATTGTGGAAACATATTTAGGACGAGTTTTCCTAATCTGGATTGTACAGACAACACATGAATACGATGAATCTTGCAAGTAAAACTAAATTCTCCCTGTGATTCTGATCCTTGCTTAAAAGAGAGTGTTTTTCCACAAAGTTTCATGAAATTGTCCAGAAGTTAATCCTGTTGACAGACATACAGCCAAACATCATTTTACACTACATTTTCAGAGGTGCTTTGCTCTGTATTTTTAGAACTTAAAAAAGACACCCTGTGCCAGATACATCCTTTCAAATCACTCCATTATTGCCTCAGTGTGTCACATTGATGCATCATGAATCAAGGCATGTATTTCAAAGTCACTTCTTCTTTCAAAGAGAGTAGAATTAGATGTTACGTCATGCTTCACGGTTGATTGGATTTACTTAAATGTCACAAACTAGTTCCCAATGTTTAAGAAAGGTCATTCATTTCTACAACATTAAACATCTACGGTATATTGCGTGTATGTTGTAGTGATTCGGTTTAATGACTATGACTGGGTTGTTTGTGTTGTCCTCTTTGTGAGGCCAGGATGTGCTGTTGCCCGGGCAACGCCTCAGCCTAAGTCACTCAGGCGGTCTGCAGCGAGACCCCAACAAAATTACATTATATTTAGCTGATGCTTTTACCCAATGCAACTTACAATAAGTGAAATAAACCATGAAGATTTTTGATTTGATTTATTCCGAACGTGACAAAAATATTTTAATCATAATGAAAGATAATTATAATGTTGTACAAACTCAAGCAGTGTCAAATTGATTAAAAAAAATATGATTGACTTACAAATGATATGTAAACAAATGATCTACCTGATTACACATCCGAAAAGGGGTGGAAAGAAGTTTACACTTATTTAATCCCACCCCTTCTCCCAAAAACGACATTAAGAAGATTTCAACTCAGATCAACAAAAAACATTCCGGTTTATAGGCTTTAAAATGTTTGAAGCTCTGTGTGATGATTACAGTTTATACATTATTTAGATCCAAAGAGACTTTCACTAAGTGCATTTCCACCATCATTGAGGCTCCATCTTATATATATTTACAAATATAAAAAGTGATGAGCTGCTGCGTTAGTTTCAAACGGGCTCAACTCTTTAAATACTGAGTTGAATGGCGGAGATGCAGTGGAAACATCTGTCTGCTTTGAAGATGTGTAGACTTTCTGCCGTCCTGATATCAATGAGGAGCTTGTCTTTTTATTGAAGACACATAGATAAGACATTTGGTACATTGAGAGGAACCACAGTTACAAATGTCCAACAGTTCAAAGCTACTAGTGTTCAACTTAGTCTCTACTATTGTACATCAATCAAAAGTAGGGGACTAACTGGACAAATTGATCCATATAGATCAGGGGTGTCAAACTCAATTTCATCGCGGGCCACATTCGCATAAAGGTTGCACTCAAAGGGCCGGTTGTAACTATATAAATATATAATATATATATAAAATAATGTATTATATTACATTATTGCCTCTGAATTGGATTATTATCGGATAGGATAATAACTTAGTAATTAACTACGTCTGAAAGCAGAAGTCCAGGGCAAATAATTGCAAGTCTCTTCAGTGCCATGTCACAAAACGAGATGCATTGTGGGACATGTAGTTTATGGGCAACCTGCTTCTGTAAAGTGGCATGTAACCATATAATAAACGTATTATATTCTTTGCAAGCTCTTGCTGAGCCACATAAAATGAAGTCGCGGGCCGGATTTGGCCCCCGGGCCTTGAGTTTGAGATGAATGCTAGATAAAGATAAGGTAGTCTAAAGTCAATGATGAATCTTGATTGGTCCAAATTTGATTTCAATGCACTGCTCTTCCTAGACCCGAACACCAAATTATACACTTTTATTTTCAAAGAGACCTTCAGACTTGGCTCATATTGTCAAAATCAGTTTCGTAGTGTTTATAAAGCTGTTGTGGATGATATCATGAAGCCTTCCGATTAAAACAACTAGTAGTTATTAGTAGTATAATCTTAACTTGAAAAGGGTCACGGGAGACCCGAACACAACAAAAGGGTTAAAGAATATTTAATTTTAGCAAATGTTTTTGTTGAGGGTTACCCCGGTCGCAGCGAGCCGAATATCATCCAGCAGAGAACAGAGCGGTGCAGAGTCACTGTCTCCACACACTCTGCGGCAGAGCAACGTCTTTTAGATGTGAAACACACTATAGACTCGAAGTAGTGGAGCCAGGCAGCTCAAATCTATACGCATCAGCATTTTGTCACACGGTTTGGACAGATTGTTATAACCTGTGTGCACTCTTTCTCTTGTTTGCCCACATTATGTGTATTTCTGTTGTTGATTTCATCATATAATAAAACAAGTGAAAAAGCCTACAGTCATCACATTGGAAAGCTAGAAGGGCACAGCAAGGCGAGGAAAGTATTTTAATGAATCCACTGAGCGGACAAAATACCGACTGACATTAAGATTTGAAAGAAATATTCCACCTAAAACAACCCTGTGCTGCCCGGCAACCACTCAAATATGTTCAGTAAACCAATGATAGGCGTCTGTAATGAGCAGTGGACTTTGAAGTATGTTCCCATCAAAATTCCCGATGGTTAATCAACATTTTACAGCATTTGAAGGACCTCATTTCATTTCATTTCAAACCTTTATTTATCCAGGTTGTATCCCATTGAGATCATTGATCTCTTTTTCAAGGGAGACCTGCTCAAGTAGGTTCCACATGAAACATTAAAAACATAACAGAGCAACAAAAGGACATCATACAGTAGCATTACAGGGATTACAATTTACATACTATCCACATGCACAGGTACCAACAGCTTCCGATTATTAAGGTCAAGTATAATATCATTATATGTAATAATACTGTTTTTGTATTGTACTGTACAGGTGGTCATTGTTCTCTGTGTTGTTCTTGCATGAATGAACTCATAACATTTCCACTTAGAGAAACTCACATTGTAATGCATTGTTAAAAGATTGTGATTATAATTAAACTTTATGAAATATATAATACATTATGACTCTTGAAAGAAACAATTATATTCTATACGTCTTTATAAGTGATTATAAAATGCTTAAGTGGTGGTTGTTGTAAAGTGTTATGCATATTGATTGGTTCTCATAACTATTATACAGCTCTGTAAGGAGATAATAAATCTAAATAAATATATTTATAATGCATTATTGACATATAAAGTGTACTCAAAACATTTTTGAAAGTCATTGCTAATGAAAGAGTTGATATGGGAGAACTACAGAAGAACAATATAAAGTTAATTACTTCCCTTCCCCAAGTGAAAGCAACACAGTGTGTAATTTTTACAAGAGAGTGTGTGTTTTTCAGCTTATATTGCAATCACAATAAACTCTCCCTCGCTGCAGCTTTTCTGTTTGTTCACAGCTGCTGTTTCCCAGTGGGACCAGCAGCTTTTAGGGGAGGAACACGTTCCCAAATCTCAAGCACGTTCCCACCTGCAGATCTGTTTTCAGGCTCACACACACTCCTGCTATGCACGCCTACAGCGTTAGATTACCAGTGTGACGTATAAGAAAGTGAAGCCTATCTTTACCCAAGAAGCAATTATGTCTTAGGTGATAAATGTGCCTGTGTGACATCCCGGCTGTCAGCATTGTTACGCCTCATCAACAGAAATCTCCGGGGCTCAGAGGGAGATCTGCTCCGGCTTCACTGCACACATCACTTCTGGTTTTGCTTGCAAAGCTTCTTGTGCTGAATGCATGAGAGCGTTTGAGAACAACACAGTATGCTAATGCGCTGTTAACGTATGGATCTCTGCTCTGCTGGGTCTCGGATCAGATGATATCCTCTCCGAGCACTTTTTATCTCGGTTTACTTTGAGATTAAAAGGAGAAGTGTGGGGTGATCAGAATGAATTGTCAACTCTGTTTGCATCTCGTCTGCTAGTTCGCCTCGGGGCAGAAGACCTCCAACGTAGTGCGAGGCGAGGGTGGTTTTATAAAAAGGTGTTTTTTCAGACAAGGTGGTTTTAAATAAGAGAGAAGAAGAAGTAATTACCATGTGTTGCTTCCCTGCAGATACGCTCTGCACAAACACCCCGACTGTTTTCATCAGACTCTCATTTAGGAGTTAATTTATCCTCCCAGCAGTGACTGGGGATGTGCTTTTGTGTGGGCAAAAATATTACAGAGAGTAGGGAAATTCATTTAGCAGAAGATAAATGTGGATCTCAGTTTTCATATCGTCTGGTGGAGGAGAAGGAGGAGAAGAAGAGGGCTCCCTCTGCTGGTTTTGACAAAAAAAAACATCTTTGGCATAAAGTGTATGAATGAAAAAAGGCTGAGAGAGAGGAAGTGGAAGACTGAGAACTTACAGAGACAATGTGAGTCAGGAAGTGTTGGCAGACGGGTTGGGATTCAGAGAGAGATGGAGATTATTCACTCTAATTCAGGGTGTTATTATTCACTCGGGATGAAACAGCCGTGTATCACCGTGGTAACGCTGTCAGTCCCAGAGCTCTGCCAAACCTCTGCATGGCACGCTGCTTTAGGACCACTGCCAGGTGTGTGTGTGTGTGTGTGTGTGTGTGTGTGTGTGTGTGTGTGTGTGTGTGTGTGTGTGTGTGTGTGTGTGTGTGTGTGTGTGTGTGTGTGTGTGTGTGTGTGTGTGTGTGTGTGTGTGTGTGTGTGTGTGTGTGTGTGTGTGTGTGTGTGAGAGATGAGGGAGAGATAATTTATTTTTATGCACATTTTACATTTGCCCATAAAAACCCTGATAGGAAATACGATCATTTGAATAAATCTTGAAAGATTACGACAACGTTTTATTCACTTGGTGTAAAAGCAGATTTATGGATGAAAGCAAAACGAGAAAGATAGAAACAGATTTAGGGAATAAAAGCTATATTTAGCTTTACTACTGTATACGCTTTTGTTTATACTTTATCATAAAAACAGGAGACACATGTTGCTCCTAATCTTCTGAGTGTCACTAATAAATCACTAATCACTCAAATAAGAGGATTTCCACTCATTATGACACTTTATACACTTACAGTAGTTGGCTTTTAGCCATGGGTGATTATTGTAATCTCCAACAGCTGATAGTAAGTGGGTACATTTGTTAAAATATTCAACCACAGTTCAATATTTATATATCTATATCTATTTAATGCTACTTTGTAGTTCTAGCCACTGCATTTTAGATGGAAATATTCAACCCAGTCTCACGGCATTTCGTGTTATTAGTCACGAAATTAATTTAATCTATTGATTCGTGTTCACCAACACGATTTTCACCTTTTTTTCGTGTCACACAGAACGATTTTAAATGCAATGTATTTCTATTGGTAGTATGTTTGGTGCCTGCAACACGTCTTGTTGTCCGGTCGGGTCTTGGAAGACCAGAAGCTGTGTGGTTCATAAAAACATGTTCTTACTCAATATCTTACCCTAAGCCTAACCCTATCCCTTTTATTTTAAATTGTATAATGTCTGAGTTTTTTTTGCCGTCAATGAGGAAAATAAATGGCTCAGAGCCTCAGAATACTGACATCTGGATTTTATGTCATCTTTTTTTCCTTCTAATTTGTTATTATTTACATTGCTTTTAAAATCGTTCTGTGTGACACGAAAAAAATTGCGAAATCGTGTTGGTGAACACGAATCAATAGATTAATTTCGTGACTATAACACGAAATGCCGTGAGACTGTGTTGAAATATTGTGCTTTTACTCCTTTTTAGCTCATTCATATGGCGAGTGACTGGAAAACAACCCTTGAACTGTTCATTTTAAAGTAAATATCCAAATCCTAACCAGCTCCTATGATCCCAAGACACTGAAAAACTCTGATGCATACTTATAGTGGCAGGAAATGACATAATGTCTGTTTAAAATAGACAAACTATTAACATGTTGTTAGCTTACAGTTGCTCTCGTCCTCCCTGTGATACAGCGACAGCATGAAGCATTAGCCGCTTTCACACCAAGTACTTTGCCGTACTTAGTTCCCAGCACTTAGTACCCCCATGGAACTAAATACAGATCGCGTTCACACCGGAATAAGTCCCTGAGGGAAGATTACGCAAATGAAGCCGCTTCTTCTTCTTCTGCTTTGGGTTTACTGGCAGGCCGCAAACAACTTCACGGCGTATACTGCCACCCGAAGTCCCCGGCCGGAGGTCCCCGGAGTTGGGGACTGGCTTCAGTAGAAGCTGCTGGGACTCCCAGCAGCTTCTACTGAAGCCTTCCGAGTAAATCGCCAGAACGCCGACACCTCCTCCGCGGGACTAATGCTAGTAATGCTAATGCCAGCAAATACAATGGCGGCTTCAAAAAACTTTTCTGAGTTTTACGGGGCGTGGTTTGCAATTCACCCAGCCAATCAGAAATTGGTACTTTTTTCTCCCCAGGAAAGTACCACCTCTCTAGCAGGGACTAAAAATGGGGGTAAAAGTTGCAGTGAACGCAAAATTCCAGGCACTATCGGAACTCAACGGGAAAAGTACTCCGGTGTGAAAGCGCCTAATGAATTGGCTAATCAGCTGGTTTATGCATTAGTATGATTGGTAGTTTCGAGCAAAGGCACCTTGAGTTTAAAAGATATAGCTCATCATTCTAACATTAGCTTTATGGTGGAGATGCACTTATTGTAAGTCTCTTTGGATAAATGTGTCAGCTAAACAAATGTATAAACTGTCATTATTACACAGATTCTCAGAGGATTTATCATTCGTTTGAGGACATGCTCATTGTGAATCTTTGTTGTTACTACACACACTCATACCATACACACACATGTCTACGATGTTCATTTGTATATTAGAAGTTGTGTCTGCAAATATTTGAAGATGAGATGAAAATTCATGAAGAACAGATGGGTTCTGGGGGAAAAGGTCTGATCTGAGGAATGCACATCCCAATCTCACAATCTGGCTCACTCTCTGCAGCCCTAAATAACACTGATCTGTTGCAGGGTATCCAAAACATAAAATGTATATTTATGTAATTGTGTGTATTTGTTTTATACTTCCAGCTCCATGTGATGCTGACGCCTTCTTCTGCCACAGCAACATGTGCATCAACAGCACGCTGGTGTGTAACGGCATGCAGAACTGTGTCTACCCCTGGGATGAGAACCAATGCAAAGGTGAGATGATATATATTTTAGAATCATAACACACTACGTTTGATTGTGTCAGCAACACGGAGAGCGACAGTGAAGCAGAGAGGGTTTACACACTGCTGGACTTGTATTATAATCCTTTACACACTTACAACATGTAACTGTGCAGGTGGAGGCAGTTTGGCGTCTTCTCTTTGTCTTGCTATAACCAGAAGGCGAAGTGCGCAGAAGAAAGTCAAACACTGTCCATTTGCAAAGTATAAGTATTTTGGGTTATTTTATTAAGATATTTATGTTGTGCTCTTCTCACTGGTTTTCAAGTGTTAATAATAATAATACATTTAATTTAAGACGCCTTTCATGACACCCAAGGACACCGTACAATTTGTTCAATAATATATGAGGTGAAAGCAACAGGACGTGTAATACAAAATGCTTAACTTAGCATTGATATTGTTATTTATAGTAAATCATATACTTTAGAGGATGATATTTGTTGTGCCAGCTGATCTGGTTGTTGGTCCAGGTCTTTGAAGCTGCTCTCTTTCCTCCTTGCCTCCAGGCATCAAGTACCTGTGTACTCTCTGACTTTGTGATACCATCAATTCCTTCATTTCCTCTGTAGTTTGATCCCTCTCTGCACTTTGAATTTTAAAGCCACTGGATCCATACATTGATCCCCAGAGTCTGCTGCTGGCAGCTCCATAATTCATCCTCTCACTGAGGATTTATTATTGCTGCTTCTTCGTTTGTATGCCATTCAATTAATTATCTGAGACGTGTGAAGACTCTGGGGAAGTTTTTCCTCTGCATTATATCGCCAATTCATTAATGTTCTTTTCCTCAACCTTTCATAACACAAGTACATACTGTAAGGTGGCATCTATACTGTAGCCCTAAAGCATCTCACACGTCCATGAATACAATATGTTTCTGCTGTTCATTACGCTGCTTGCAGGTCAGATGTGTTTTTATGTCAAACTAATGCATAAACACTAACTACCTCTACTACTGTGGTACAATTACCTTTAGTTTCTGTTAGGAAATATCACTCGTCCCCGGCTTGAGCTTCAATCTCAGGATCCATGTATTCCTGACCCTCTCCAGAATGGAAGTAGTCATCACATACAGAGCATCAACTAGTTCCTGAACAGTGTCCTTCACATGCTGATATCCAAGAGAGGGAGTTACACAGTCACAAGATGGAGGAATACCGGTTATTGTAGGAAATCATACATCCTATCATGTACAGAATACTAAGTTTGTTCTCAAAATGTTGGCTTTTTTCTCAAAATCCTGAATTTTTCTCCCAATCTCCAAATTCTGAATTTCTCAAAATCAGAATTTTTTTTCACTTTCTCTCAAAATTCTGAATTTCTTTCAAAATGTTCACTTTTTCTCAAAATGTCGACTTTTTTCTGAAAATCTCAGAATTCTGAATTGTTCTCAAAATTCGGACTTTTTCTGAATACTTAAAAATGTTAATAAGCCCTCTTCACCGGCTTGAGCTTCAATCTCAGGATCCATGTATTCCTGATCCTCTCCAGAATGGAAGGAGTCCTCACATACAGAGCATCAACTAGTTCCTGAACAGTGTCCTTCACATGCTGATATCCAAGAGAGGGAGTTACACAGTCACAAGATGGAGGAATAGAAAGCAGTATTCAATGTTTACTTCAGATTAGCTCCACGTCAGAAATGATCATGCTTGTCATATGTCTATCTCCATAGAGGCTGAATCATCATGTTAATCACATAGCTATCATATGCCTCAAACAGTCCTGATGCTCTTCTAGGTAATCATACATCCTGTCATGTACACAGCTACAGTTGGGATACCTTTGTTATCATGTGGACTCTGATATTGGAAGAGGACATTCAGTATTTTCCCAACAGTTGCTCTGCAGTAAACCTCCCTTCAGCCCCACAGTTACCCTTCCTCCCTGCATCTAACTCTCTCTTAAGCAGAGCAAATGACAAATTGCATCAATTAATTAAACCCTGCTATAGCTCACTCACACTGAGAGAGCGCTCCAGCCTACAGTCAGCGTTTGTAACCGTGCAGCATGAAGAGGCCGTGTTGCTCTCTCTCTCTGCACTCAGGCTCACCGCACATTGACTACATTTGTCCTCATTAGTGATAAAATGTCAGGTTTTATCCCTTTCTTCTTTACCCTTCTGATTGTAACCATTTACTGTCATTGAAGCTGCTGTGTTACATGTTCATACAGCATGTAAATGTCACAGACCTCCCCACAGACTGCCTCTCTTCTCTCATGACAAAAGACCGTAGCTTTGACCCAATGTGACCTTCTCTCCGTCCTTTTGATGTCATATGAAACTCACAGAGTCTTGTGCATGTGTTAAAAAATGTGTTTTACATGCAAGCTATAGTATCTATCTTTGAGTTGTTGCTAAGGAGGTCTTTATAACCTTTTGCTCAGCCTCACCCTCTTTGTGACTGTTACTATCATCATTACATCAACTGTGGCAGATTAACTTTTGAAGTTCTTGGTAGTATTTTTTAGATATCAGGTCTTCGATTTTGGACAGAGAACAAAAACTGAAATTAGCTTCACAGGCTCAGTTCAACGATTTTTCAAGAGAAAAGACAAGCACATGTCATGGACTCTCCACACATCTCAAAGTAAGCCCACTTTAGGATGTTTGATTTGCATTACCTGGAGCAAATATGCAATTATAAGAGTCTTTGCGTTGACTTTGTATGAAATTGCGCCAAAAGGTTTGGAAAATTTGCTCTGGGTTCGGTTTGAAAGCTTAATTTACTTGGGACAAATACCAGCTTCTAAACGATGGAGCAATACTATCGTTGCGCTAGTTCTGAATATGTCTTTTTTTAGCTTAACCTGTAAAATCACAGTATCATTTAGTATGAAATGCAGGTCTTGTAAGATAGTTAAGATGAGACATTGAACTCTAATGGTTGGAAGTTAGGATGGGTTGTTTTGAAGTGGATCTCGCAGTATTTTCGAATAGTTGTGCAAATCGAGGGTGTACCGTCTAGAAATGACCTGAAATGTCCCGGGAGGAACTGCTTGGTTTGGTTTCTACTGTAGTAGGGTAGGTAGCTAGACTAACACTTTTTCAGCCAACATGGGAGCAGACACAATGTTTAATCCATCCCTTTAGTTTCCGAAGACCTAAAAATAAGAAAGCACTTTACAAACTCTGAGAATAAGTCTCTTACTGAGTTACATTTTCAGTATCGCGTGGTGTTTAGCCAATGGTCGACTAACTGGGAATAGAACTGTTAGTTGTGTTCTCACATTGTGATGTATCAAGAATTTGCTCTGGGTTCGTTTGAACACTTCATTAACTTGTATTAAAGAGGACCTATCATGCAAAATGCACTTTTGTATGTCTTTTCTACATGAATATGTGTCCCCGGTGTTCCAGGGAACTCACCAAGTGTCAGAAAACACAACCCTCTCTATTTTCCTCCATACCCAAATCTCTAAAAAAGGGGCTGCAACAGATCTGATAAAAACTGATCCAGATTTGAACCCTGTCCTGACGTCAGGACGGTGGCGCTACGGCTATTGGGCCAACTCCACCAATCAGGAGGAGACAGCCACGGCCATTGCCGTTCGAAAGCGCTGGAGACGCTGTAGTACATATGCCAGGCCAGTAGGTGGTGCTGTTCTCACAGAATCTGCCCTTGCTAAAACAGAGCTAAAAAATGTCAAATTGAGCAAAATGAGGCATGGCTAAAATGCATGATCTGTTTGGTATTTTGAAAAAAAAAAGTATAAATATGCCTTATATAGGTATGGTCCTACACTATATTATTCAAATATAGCATGATAGGTCCACTTTAAGTATGGATGAAGACCAGCTACTAAACAATGGTTTTAAGTTAACCTGTAAAATCACAGTATCATTTGAATTGCAGGTCTTGTCTAGTTGGTTACCCTCGATTTGCAAAACTCTTGCAAAACAGTTAAGATGAGACATTGATCTCCAATGTTTAATCCATCCCTTTAGTTATGCTAAGGCTAGAAAAAGGTAAGCACTATCCCAACTCTGAGAATAAGTCTCTTACTGAGCTACATTTCTAGTCTCGCGAGGTGTTTAGCCAATTAAATAGAACTGGTAAAGTTGTGTTTTCACATCGTGATGTATCAAGCTCCCTCTCTGTTGTCTCTTCCTCTGCACAGAGAAGAGGAAAGCCAACATCTTGGACAACCTGAACAACACGAACGGCACCATCATCGGCGTGACGTGCTGCATCGTCCTCCTGCTGCTCATCGTGTCCGTCATCGTGCAGATCAAGCAGCCGCGCAAGAAGTACATCCTGCGGCGCGAGGACTTCGACCCGACGATGTTCCAGGAGGTGTTCGAGCCGCCTCACTACGAGCTGTGCACGTTACGCAGCGCCACCGCTAACGCCAACGCCTCCGCAGACTTAGTGGACCTGGCGGAGGACTTTGAGAACTACCACGCTCTGCGACGCGCCTCTTCGAGATGCATCCACGATCATCACTGTGGCTCCTCCTCAAACCCTGGCTCCGCCCACTTATCCCAGCTGTCTCTCAGTGGGCGAGGAAGCCGTGGGAACTTGAGTCGCGACGCCGCCACGCTGCTGACGGACCTCCCGCAGCAGAACATGGCGGTGCGCCCCCTGCTGCCGTCCTCTGGTAACAGACGCAGCATCCTGGTGATGAAGCACAGCTACTCACAGGAAGCGGCGGATAACGGATGCGACATGGACGACGAAATGGAGGAAGTTCCCACCACCAGCCACCGGCTCTCCCGCCACGAAAAGGCAGTACAGCGGTCAGTATCCATAGATTTCTGATGAGGAGAGCAGCAGTTAGCGATGGGGAAGTGTGTGTGGGATACATTTATTTTTATTTTCATTTTATTTTAGCTTCCTCATGTTTTTTTATAATATAATAAGCTTCTTTTTGTTTGCATTAACCCTGTTTTTTCTCCCCCTTTCTATCATTAAACATATTTTTTTCACAAAGGGCTAAATGATGTCCCCTCTTGCATGCTCATCACTGAACATGTCAAGCACCCCCTGCTAGTTTCAACCTTAAAATCATGATTGATAACCCTTTTTACTAAACTTTACTTTGAAATGTGTCAATACAGACCTAATTGTAAATGATATTAATGATATAATCAGTCCAGTTTTGACTGTTAATGCAAGGGCTTGAATCTGTGCCTCATTGTGATTAATAACATGCAAAAATATGCATTTCTTACTGCAAAAAATACTTATATGAAGCTCAACATTTTGGCATGAGGAAGATTTTCTATGAAGTAAACCAGTATTTCGCTCTGTACTTGCACCTTGACAGCTTAACAAGTAACGGTAAATGTTTAGGAGGTGTGCATATCGAGTAAACACGTTCCTGCATGCACTTCCTATGCGCTCTTTCCAGAGTGTTCTTGACTGTGTATTCACTATGTTCTGCATGCCAGGCTCCCAGAGACTAGCAACGCACCAATGAAGTGTATTTCTGTTCTGTAGCACAATGTGCATTCTGACCTCTCTATGCAAAACGAGTTTGATATTAAAGAAAGAGCCGTGACATTTCAGGTTCTGCCTCATTGGCTCTTTGAGCAAACATGAATCAGAGTACAACACAACTAGGGTCTAAGAGACAATCTCAAGGTAAGCACCCTATCAACGGACATCTCTAAATGTTGTTGTGTAGTCATCATCTGCCCAGTCAGTAATTATACTTTATGTAAGTTATCTTTTCCTTTTCTGTGATTTTTGCGCGGGTTGTTTTCTTGTTCATTTTCACCAAGATGGTTTTCTTGCTTGCGGCCATCTTGCCCTCCTTGTACGTTTTTTTTTTTTGGTGATGCTCCAGTTTGCTGTATGTCTCCCGAAGACATATCATCAGTGGATTTTCATCAGCATGGACTTTTTTCAATCATCTGTAGTTGAAGCTGTTATCGAACAATAATGTCTAACCTCTGCACTTCTCTACCTACAGAAAATCACACTTATCTTGTGAAGAAGCTTGTTAAATCCACATAAAAGCACACATTTATAACGCAGACACCTTACTGCGGAAGAGGATTAGGACTCATTGAGAAAAATGTGTTTGAGTTCTTGATTTAAAACTCACTCTGAGATTAAAGTCTAAATTGCTATATTGTAAAAGTTAACGGACATTAATCAAAAGTTCCTATAAATGTGTCCGTTTAGCTACCTAGGCCACTTTAAACCTCAAATACAAACTGAAATGAATTAAGAAATATATTCTGTCTTTATTATCTGAACTCTGACTTTAATCTCAGAACTCAAATACATTTAAAAAATATTGTTATTAAAAAAAATAACTCAGATTTCTGAAAACTCAAAGTGTTGACATTTGTCCCTAATCCTCTTCCGTACAATCCCACATGTTTTCATTCATCAAATCAGTGGGATGTTTGTGCACACACTAAAGAAAGCTAATTGAGATTATTTTAAAACCTTTTTAAACTCTGTAAGTATTTACTGATGAAACCTTTATGCCGAGTTCCTCTAGTTGTGCATGATTTCTGTCACTTGTAGCATTTGATTTTGTGTTTTGGTTTATTGTGAAGCATACAGCAGCATTTCTGCCTGTGTGTAACACTTCATGTGGATGCTCCATCGCCGTGCTTTCATGAAGAAGTAAGATAACAATACATTTAATATGCAAATATCAGCATAAAAGAGTTGCATTTCAGTGCATATTTACAAAATGTCTGCCGCTTCAAGCGTGCACCCAATGGAGCGATCACAGGAAGTGTTACCTGTAGTTGTGTCTGTTATTGTGAACAGTGTGTGTGTGTGTGTGTGTGTGTGTGTGTGTGTGTGTGTGTGTGTGTGTGTGTGTGTGTGTGTGTGTGTGTGTGTGTGTGTGTGTGTGTGTGTGTGTGTGTGTGTGTTGTGTGTGTGTGTGTGTGTGTGTGTGTGTGTGTGTGCTTATGTTCTCCATCATGTAGACTTCTTGAGTATAGTGCGATCCTGGATCAGTACGAACGGGCGTCACTGACATATGAGAAAGCGGAGCGGGGATTTACACCTGCATGATGCTGATGATGATGATGATGATGATGATGATGATGAAGGGACACTTTGACGAGAGGAGATTGAATATGTAATCATGTGATGAACACAAAGGACTAGATGAAACACTCACTGTGCTGTGAGACGCGTCAGCTCTAAATCCAGATTTATTTTGTCTCTCTGGAAAGAAATGGACCTTTTAGAATAAACATGATTATTGATTATTGATTATTAAACTCTAAATGTGTCATTATCATAGATCCCTCACTGAAATTAATGTAATAAAGTATATTAAAGTTACTTTGAAGCATGTGTTTTTCAAATGAATAGCATACATATTATGATTTTTAAAGATAATCTAGGATGATTTGTTTTATTGGAATTAGTTACTAACCTAATACAAATTAAAGCTAAAATAATTTTGATAACACTTCAAGGTTTGTGCATGCTTCGTCTATAGCCATAAACATTAATAAACTAACATTAAAATATAAAAAGCCCCCATTTACTAACACATACGTCAAAGTAGTGGAAGAAAAAGCATCTTTGCATTGCATGTTGAGAGTTGCACCATTTTCATTTTAACACCTTTTCAAATAAGTTGACTAACTTTTTGCACTTTTAGAATACTTGTTTTTTTTAATTACTTAAAGTCTGGTTGTCTTCTAACCTTCTTCTACTGTAGGAGCCTCTTTGTATGGAAACAGACTTTTATACTATAGGGCGAATTGATCGTTTTTACATTTACTCTAAATATCTTTCAGGGCTGATTTTACTGATGCTTTGTCAAATAAATAACAATAAAGCTTCACCTTTGTTTTATTGGCTTTTGCTTTTCCGTGTGTCCTCAAACTGTCAGCAGCACACACACATTTTATTTACTTGTTGCTTTATTAGCTTTAGAGGATTAGTTTCACCTAGCAGGACAATAAAAAAAGAGTCCAAATAATGGCCGGTATGTGACGGACAAGTTAATTGACTTTTGGTGTTTGCCCTCATGAGATTAACCCCACACACTCTGCAGAAAGGACGGATCAGCCACACACACACACACACACACACACACACACACACACACACACACACACACACACACACACACACACACACACACACACACACACTGCCATTGTCCGAGTTGTTTTCTTACTGTCAGTTTTTATGGTATTTACCATCTATGTGTGCATTTTTTTTTCTGTATTTAATGTCATGTATTATTTACATCCATGCTCGGCCATCTTCTTTTCCACTTTTGCAGAGACTTGAATAAAATGTTTATTTTCTATGCACATTGCACATCTGTGTGTTGTCTTTCTGTTTCGCCACGATATATATATTTAGAAAGCAACCCTCTTCTTAACTGCTATCTTGAACACACACACACACACACACACACACACACACACACACACACCGTCACAAAGTAATCTGCCAGCGTATAGACAGAGGCCGACAGCTCAGTAATTAGTCTGCACCAATTCGATCAGAGCAGCAGGAGATGGGAAAAGGGCCAGGAGGACAGACTCAAAGTAATAGTGTTTTCATTTCTCTGCAGATACATCAGACAGATGCATCATTCCTCTGCATCTTGCCAGCTTTGACAGCATTCGGAGCTAACCTTTTCTCTCCCATGCATCTTGAGTGAACTGAGCAACTTTACCAATGTAGAGTGTTGTGATGAGAAAAATGTAAAAGTAAAAAAAAAAAAAAAAAAAAAAAAAAGGTTTGTGATGTACGCAAGTTTGTCTTCTTTGCTTTGGGACAGCAGAGGTGCATTTCCCCCGAAAACCTGCTGGGAAAGACGAGCAGTGGATACATCTGACACGGGACTGAACGTGTGTTTTAAAGAGTACCTTTAATGTAAAGTGGTTCAAAACAGAATCAGGTTTTTTAATCATTTTATCACATTGCAGCTGCTGATTTCACTTTTATTTCCTATTCTGATGTCATCTCTTTACAGTAGAGTATCAGGTTGTTTTTATATCTAAACAAGAGACGCCTTTTTGAGAAGACGAAGAAACTGAATGTCTGAAACAAAGTGATGTTAAACCTCATAAAGCGTGATTCTACTGACCGTCCACTGCTGTTTATTTATCCCTCTCTCTCTGATGAATGTTATTTACTTTCTCTTTGGTCACACTTCACTTCATTGTGGTGTTTTTTAACCCCTTTACATTTGATTTGATAACAGAACATGCTGGATCAAATGTTTTCAATAAACTGATGTTTACTGATCGTTTGGTGATGATTGATTTTGTCAGTATCATACAATGTCTATTACCACTTCCCCCGAATGGCCATTATATATTACGTCAAATCGATGCAAACAGCTGACTTAAGAAACTGATATTTTAAAATGAGGACATGAGGATGTTTAATTTAATGTATATAAGAAAAAAACATAAAAAACAGATTACTTTAATTATTAAGTGATTACACGTTAAATATTCTTTAAATTCACATACAAATCCAGTTCAATTAGGAGTACTTTTAGTTATGTTGCATTTATTCATGTAAAATGTACCCTATATTAACAATGACGTTCACGATAAATGTACTGTTACATTTATTATTACAAATAACCATTTTAGATCAATTTTGATATTATTAAATAGCTTTATGCTATATATAACCTTTCAGCCGAGTCCAAAAAGTAACTGAATACACAATAGTAAACATATATGTTGAGGTATATTTAAATATCTAGAAACTTGTTCAAATATATATATTTGTTGGGTATATTGTGCAAAATGTTGATGATTAGATCTTACTGGTAAAAACTCAGTTTCCCATGAGTCCTTGAAATGGTGCGTGACGTCAACACTATGCGCCTCAGAATCATAAACACAATTTAACACAGATAGCACAGCATGTCAAATAGTTAGTGTGTTAGGTTGTGCATACACGACTAACAATAATTATTAACTTTATATTATTTGATCCTGTGCTCAGTGTGTGTGTGCGCGTGCAGCTTTAGCTAGTTGTCCGTGCTAAAGTACACACACTCTCACAGAGGACACACAGTAATCATGGCTTACACGCAGCTATTCAGAGCTTTGCACCGGACAGCGACACACAAATACACACACGTGAGTTTTCTCGTGCAGACACACCATGGATGTATAATAAGAGACACACACCGGAACGCGTGCACGGTGTCCGGTCTGACCCTCCAGAGGACCGAGGCTCCCCGGTTTTTCCTGCCCGTGCTGAGCTGCTTCCTCCGGGCACAGCGGGGGGTCTGTCTCCGCTCTGCAGCCCGGAACCAGAGCAGCAGCTCCGGGGACAGAGACCGCTCTGTGTCCCGGTATCCGAGTGGGAGCCCGGAGCCCTCCGCGGCTCAGAAAGGTCAGCAAATAGTGAAGAAGTTTTACTAGAAATATACTGTACTTAATTGCATTATAAGATCTGTTCCAACAGGTATTGCATTCAGGTGGACATGACATGTTAGTCTTGTCCTTTTTTCTTAATGTTTCCACACTGTGCCCTTTGCTGTAACATTGTACATGTCCCCACTGTGGGACAATTAAAGGATGTCTGATTTTAAATCTTAATAAAAAAACACATTCAAGGTAAGACAACAAGTAGCAGCATGTAATACTATAACATTGACAGAGTTGTAACACTCTCAAGTAGCAAGGTAGACAAAAAAGGGGACATCAAAACATTATATATTAATTATTTTATTAATTAAAGCAAGCACCTCTTTGCACAAGTACCAAAGTCATAGTAAGAGTCTACATTAACTGATTGTGAAATATATGTTGCAGTGATAGCGGCCGGCAGAGACTTCACCTACCTGATCGTTGTTCTCATCGGACTGGGAGTGACGGGTGAATACAAGAAGATTTCAGGCAGATTTATCATCTGAAGTTAAATAATGGATATGAGCATTAAAATGTGTTCTTTATGTTTCAGGTGGGCTGCTGTATGTGGTTTTCCAGGAGCTGTTTTCCACCTCGAGTCCAAACAAAGTGTACGGGAAAGCCTTCAACATAATCCGGTTAGACCCCGGGGTAAGAGTCGCTGCTGAGGAAAAAACTGCATCTCTTCCTAAAAGTTTAATAACTAAACAACATCTCCTGAAATGGTACAATACATTTTGTTTTTAGATAGTTCATTACTTGTTTGGTGTATAAAACATCTGTAAATAGAGACACATATCCATACTAGGTTCTCAAAGTCTGAACATGCCTTGTTTTTCAGTCCAAAAAGCACAAATATCCACTTATCTCCATATTTGAGAGGCTGAAAACAGCATGTTCTGCATGAAACGTACAACATTACATGGAAATACTTTTGACATTTAATCAATTATCAAAATATTTGATCAAATTCATTCTTCTTCTGTCGATTTACACATTAATTGAACAAGTCATCACAGCTCTAGTTGCACATAGATAAAAACATTTGTGGCATTAATTGGAATTTATGTTGTATTGTATGTTACCTCCTCTACGTTGATTTCAGGGCATATCTTAAAGAAGTCATCTGTTGAAAAGCAAAGTTTAAAAACATGTATGTGTATTGAAATTGTAGGTTGTTGGTGCTTTTGGGGATCCGATCAAGTGTTACGGGGAGACGACGCGCCGAGGGAGAAGGCAGCAAGTCAGGTGGGAGCTTTGTTCTTATTTCTAGTGAATATATTTTTCATTTGTACACATTTCTTTGTACAGTTTTAAATAGATTGGGTTATATATCTGTAAGCATCTGTGTGGTGGTTCTGCTTAGGTGTTACAGTGTTTTTTAACCTGTTTGTGTTTCCACCTCAGTCATCATGAGTTCCTGAAGGACGGAGTGAAGCATCTGAGACTGAAGTTTTACGTCGAAGGATCGGAGCCAGGACGCAAAGGGACGGTGCACACGGAGTCAAGAGAGGTTTGTTTTATTCATTTCCAAAGATGCACCATTTCATTACACAGATTTCCTCCAAATTGAGATACTGTTGTTATTTCACAGAATCCCAAAACTGGAAAATATGAGTTTCGTTACATAATTGTGGAAATGGACACCTACCCGAGACGAACCATCATCGTGGAGGATAACCGATAAGAAAGAAATAAAGATATGAGTGTCACTTCACTGAAAAAGTATTGTGGGAAAATGTGTTTGAGTTATTAGATAAATAGCTTAAGATTAAGTCTAAATGTCATTGACTATTAAAAGGTGTTGTGTTCAAAATCAACAGTTTTGGTTGATTTGAACTTTGCCACAACACTGGAGCATTTGGGAAGCACAGTCTCTTTCACAGGAAATGATCATGGACTCTTATGTGTTATTGTTTTGTAAATAATACACATGCTACACATTGTTTTCCTGGATGTCAACCTGTAATTAAAGATGCTTTTTGATTGTAATAAAAACTGTTTGTCTATTTTATGCAGACATACAAGAAAAAAGTTATCAGTGCTTTTATTCCGGGACAAAATGATGGATGAAGCTTTGATTCTTCAGCTTTATTGAATTGGGTGTATTTTAATTGGCATTTGAAGTGATTTTAATACAATATTTACCTTTAATAAAGTACTTGCTTATATGTGAAGTTTGTAATTTTAGAGATCCTGCTTTTTTATTAAATGTACATTGTTATTTTAGTCTTTGTTTAATACATGACTATGTGGTTGTCTCTTTTTAAATGGTAGACTGCAATACACACCAATGACCACTAGATGGAGGCAACGGATCGAGAGAGAGGAACAACCTGATATAACCCTTTAAAATAGTCTATAATTTATCATATATCATTGATTCTAAATAATAAACAACCATTATATATGAGTTGGAATAACTTCAAAAGGTATTTTGATGATATAAGGACAACATTAATGTAATACAGTCTTTTGATTTTGTCCCATTTTACCATTTTGTCAGACTGAAGTATGCTACCTTCATGAACACTCGGAAACATCGATATTTTTGATGAAACTGAATAAAACACCAAATAATTAGCAACAGTCGAAAAGGCTGCGACTGATATTTCATTTGTGGGGAGGAAATTAGGTCCTATTTATGAATATTTTTAACATTTAAACTGTTACTTTGGCCCAATCTTATACATATTTTGTATAATTGCATGTCATTAACATAGACTCATTCTGATTCTGATGGTTACAACATCGTGTGTCATTAGGTGCTGCATTTTCCCGGTATTAGTGAAGGCAACACTTGTTATGCACACCCATAGACACCGCCCACTTACCAAACCAACGGTTGCGATGCGCTAGCTGAAACTCTTCATGAATAACGCGATTATAAGTTGTTTATTCAATGTTAAATTAACGAGTAGTTTGCCAGGCAACTAGTTAGTAACCTTGTGTGTTACCCCAAGAAGATATGTGGATAAAGTGGTTCATTATCACTGTTTGTTTTGATCGCGGAGTGGATACATAGGCTGTTGTTGTTGTTGTGGCCTGCTAACTAGCATAGCTAAGCTAGCATTAGCTTCAGCTGGTTCCTCTTTGCGTCTCAGAAACGAAGAGGGGGAAATCAAATGGCACACCTTCAAAGCTAACTCTCAAGAGCTGTCTCTGTAAAGTAAGTACAACATCTTCTGTCTGCTTTTAGCTAAGTTAAGTAGCTAAGTGAACGAATAAGCTGCTTAACTTAACATCTGTTTTAAGTTACAGAAAAGTGCTTTAGCTGAGACGATCTGAACGTGTAGGTTAATACAAGTCAGCTGGAGTTTACTTAAAGCCTTTTATTGTAATTGATTACTTTAAGCAAGTTAGTGAATAATGTCTCTTGTTGTTACTGTTTTCTGGACACGTTGTGGTGTTGGCCAGGGATCAGAAAGTTGTCCCCAGCTATGAGAGCCTCTCACCACTGACTGAAATCTCAGAGAAATGGAGCTGTACTGGTACATGTGAGTATCAACGATATATAATTCATCAGTCTGTGGTTAAACACTAGCAATCCACTTATGAGCCTTTTCTGTGAATGTTTTACCATCATGTTAACAAAATATCACAGTATCAGTGTGTTATTAGAAATATACACAATAACTGTCTCCAATGGTTTTCCTGTTGAGTTTTTAACTGGTTATAATAGTTATAATTGGATAAAATAGTTTAAAACTGATGTGTAAAGTATGTCTCATCACCCCCCCCCCCCCCCTCTCCTCTTTCGTCTCCAGAGTCGTCATTGTATTCATCGTTATCAAGATATGCTTCTACGTGTGCTGGTATCGATCGAGACAGAGGCAGCTGGCGGCGTACCTGAACAACCCACGCAACGCTCAGATAGTCATCGTCGGAGGAAGGGCCTACCTCCATCAGATGTATGAGAGACAGAGTGTAAGTTCAGACCCCACACATACACACGTCCTACATTTGAAACAGGCAATCTAGCTGTCAACTACTCGAGTGCTTTAGCGCCTCGAGGATGTGTCTTTATTAAGGGACAAGGCTAACTAAAAGGATTTTGTAACAAAGATGATCTATTTATAGCGGCTGAGAGACTGAAGAATGGTCAGTGAGCAAAACGTGTGCGTTACATAGCGGCAAAAATGTGGCATCGTGTTTCCTGACGATCCAAATAGTTTTTTTGTATCTGCAGTGTAAGGGTGGGTGTCTGAGTTCAACCCGGGCAGACACATTTCACTTAAAAGGAATTTTCACCCATCAAAAGACCATTTAATATGTTATAACTCACCCCATGTAACCTTGAATTCTTGATGAAATGCTGTTTTTCGTGCATGGTGAACCATCCAATAACAATTCATGAATTGAATTAAATAGGGTCAGCGTTTATCAACAGGAAAACTATAGCAAAACATCTGCATAGTGCAAACAAACTTACAAGCAGAAGCATATAGGCTAATTTCAAGTTGAAAAGGTAGGATTTCTTTTTTCACACAACACAACATTATATGCAAACAACAATCTATTTTATTGTCCTTACAATGAAAAAAGTACATTCTGTGTGATCTGTAGTTCCTCTTTATCCACTGTAGCTTCATTTGGCCACAGAAAGTGTTCGCATCACAAAGGGAAGTCCGTGCCGACTCTCAGGACTTTTTCCATCCGACTGGATTTCACTGGAGTCAGAGAAAGTCAAATAGGGTCACGGTTGTGTTACATTTTTGCAGAGGAGCTGTTTGCTAATCTCTCACTCTGAAGAAAGAGAGAGGGCTTGTGGTTTTCAGTCACTTTCACATTGAGTGCAAAGAGGAGAGGCGTGACATTTCATTTTCAGTGACATACTAAGCGAGTGTAGATGAGTATAAATAGGTCGTTCACTTCTGGTTTACATCTTTTAAAACGTTCTGTTTGTTTGACCCTTTTACAACAAAGGTCACAGCTTTGACAGTTGGAAAGCGTTACTCAACTTTTTTTTTTTTTTTTAAACAAGTTTGTAAAATGTCAACCCAGTGTGTGAGATTTTCTTCGTGCAAATATTATCAGCGCAGACAGCAAGGCAGGAGAGGACTGATTCACAGAGAGCACTGTGTGCCTCTTCCAAGGTCTTGTTGTTCCCTGAATCTAAAAAAAGTCTAAATGTCATCCACTGCCATTTATCTTGAGATCTCTTATTATATTTAATTAGCTTGACATTGTGGTTAGTCTGTGGATATTTTGAGCTTCTGTTCAAGAGTCAGTTGATCCCTGGTGACTTTAAGAGTTGTTGGTTTCTTACTTTTGCTGCCACACATGCTTTTTATTCATATTTTGAAATCAGCTACAAATCACAGGTTTATTGTTCCCGTCGAGCACTAGTTAAATGTTTTATCTGTGTTTCACTGATATGTCTAGAATATAAATGCCTTGCTCAACATCCTGTGGGTTTAGATAGACATCATGATCCTGTCCCGTCGTCGAGCCTTTCTGCTTTACTGACTCTGAAACACCTGGAAGCAATCTCCATGATTCATACCCTTCACAAATATGCTCCGTGAATCATCAAACGGGTGACTGAGGTGTTTCTAGGTCATTTCTAACTCTTGCCCACGTAATCCACTTCTTAGTAGCTCCTGCACAAGTTGCAGCAAATTCATCAAGTCATATTTCTAAGGAATGGTTTAAAGGTCACCTATCATGCTATTTTTAGGCAATAGCATAGGTCTCAGATATATAAGAATATATAAAAAACATGTCTATGAAGTGTTTTGCTCAAAATACCAAACAGATCACCCATTCTAGCCATGCCTCATATCCCTCTGTTTCACTTCCTGTTTCAAAAGTGCTGATTTGGGGTATAAAACTTAAAAAAAATTGATGCAAATAAAAAAGGAGGGGGCTGAGCTCATGCGGGACCCGGCAGCTACTGTCTAAACTAAATGCTGCCGTGATGAAACGCCATATCATGGATTATCAAGGATTGTTTCTGAAACAGTATGGAGCTCAAAGGCTTTCTCTCTTGCCGGTTATACCACAAGGTGAGTTCCTTTTTATTTCCTGCTTCTTCACACACATGCTCTGCAGTACAGGTTAGCTCTGAGTGTTAGCGATGCTAATGTAAACACCGACCATATTACGTCCAAAACAGTCGGGCATTGTTTCTGATAGCAACGTTTCTGATAGGGCCGTGGGTCCACATTTCAGATATTACGTCATATCGGACGCAAATCTGGATCAGCTCCATTGTAGCCCCGTTTTTAGAGATTTGGGTACGGAGGAAAAGAGAGAGGGTTTTATTTTCTGACGCTGCGTGAGTTCCCTGACACACCGGGGACACATATTTATACAAGACATCAAAAAAGTGCATTTTGCATGATAGGTCCCCTTTAAATGGAAAAATAAATCCGGTTTCTTCTTGCTGCCGCCCCAGCTTTTGAGATATCTATCGTGGTTGTTAAATCTAAGAGGCAGAGGCTGGGGTATTTTTAGCGTTGTTTGGAATATTTGTGCAACAGGAAATGCCCCATTTCTCCTAAAAAAAAGAGACATTCTGCAGTGGAAACACACCACACTCGTTATATGTTCTTTCTGAAGCATTTCTCAGATTCTTATAAGAAGTAACATTCGGTTTAACCATTTTCATTTATAAGAGAGGTTTAGGGGAAAGGGCATGTTCAGAGGGAGATCAAAGGTCAGCAATACATGCCACATACAAGTGCTGTATATCATCTGAACATAGATTTGAGAAGCGCTTTGTGTGCAGCTGCTCTACTCATAAATCAGACGTATAAATGTTCCCAAACATTTATTAGTTGATTAAAAATAACATGTAAAAGTGCATAAAAACATTATAATTGAAGTGTTTGAGGGTCATTCCCAAGCTCTATTAAGTCTTGTAGGTTGTTGAAGCTATTTTTAGGTTTGAACCATTTGTTACACAGATGTGGTGCAGATGTGATATTTGACCTCTGGAGGGTTCATAATACAAGTACAGAGTCCCACTACTTTCTCTCTTTCTCTCCCTTTTGCACACACACATTTTAATCTGTTTTACTTCCCCTACTTCTTCCTCTCCTCTAGTCTCTAATCTCTCCTCTCCCTCTCCTCCTGTCTCTTCTCCTTCTCCTCTCCTCTTCCTCTCCTCATCCTCTCCTCTCCCTCTCCTTCTCCTTCTCCTCTCCTCTCCTCTCCTCTCCTCTCCTCCTCCTCCTCCTCCTCCTCTCCCTCTCCCTCTCCTCTGGTGTATAATGTTCCTGTTAAGGTTGTAATAGAATGTGCTGCAGGGTCCCTGTGGTCGTCCATAACCCGGCCCACTGAGCGTCTTCTGGAGAAACGCCAAGACGACTCGAGTCCTGGGTTAAATGAATCAAACACAGGGGGGGGGGGGCGGAGAGGGGGGGGGAGGAGAGATGCATGTGGGCCGGAGAGAGAGAGGGAGGAGAGATGCATGTGGGCTGGAGAGAGAGATGGAGGAGAGATGCATGTGGGCCGGAGAGAGAGATGGAGGAGAGATGCATGTGGGCCGGAGAGAGAGAGGGAGGAGATGCATGTGGGCCGGAGAGAGAGAGGGAGGAGATGCATGTGGGCCGGAGAGAGAGAGGGAGGAGAGATGCATGTGGGCCGGAGAGAGAGATGGAGGAGAGATGCATGTGGGCCGGAGAGAGAGATGGAGGAGAGATGCATGTGGGCCGGAGAGAGAGATGGAGGAGAGATGCATGTGGGCCGGAGAGAGAGAGGGAGGAGATGCATGTGGGCCGGAGAGAGAGAGGGAGGAGAGATGCATGTGGGCCGGAGAGAGAGAGAGAGGGAGGAGAGATGCATGTGGGCCGGAGAGAGAGATGGAGGAGAGATGCATGTGGGCCAGAGAGAGAGAGAGGGAGAAGATGCATGTGGGCTGGAGAGAGAGATGGAGGAGATGCATGTGGGCCGGAGAGAGAGATGGAGGAGAGATGCATGTGGGCCGGAGAGAGAGATGGAGGAGAGATGCATGTGGGCCGGAGAGAGAGAGAGAGGGAGGAGAGATGCATGTGGGCCGGAGAGAGAGATGGAGGAGAGATGCATGTGGGCCGGAGAGAGAGAGAGAGAGAGGGAGGAGAGATGCATGTGGGCCAGAGAGAGAGAGGGAGGAGAGATGCATGTGGGCCGGAGAGAGAGAGAGAGAGGGAGGAGAGATGCATGTGGGCCGGAGAGAGAGATGGAGGAGAGATGCATGTGGGCCGGAGAGAGAGAGGGAGGAGAGATGCATGTGGGCCGGAGAGAGAGAGGGAGGAGAGATGCATGTGGGCCGGAGAGAGAGATGGAGGAGAGATGCATGTGGGCCGGAGAGAGAGATGGAGGAGAGATGCATGTGGGCCGGAGAGAGAGAGGGAGGAGAGATGCATGTGGGCCGGAGAGAGAGAGGGAGGAGAGATGCATGTGGGCCGGAGAGAGAGAGGGAGGAGAGATGCATGTGGGCCGGAGAGAGAGAGAGGGAGAAGATGCATGTGGGCCGGAGAGAGAGATGGAGGAGATGCATGTGGGCCGGAGAGAGAGATGGAGGAGAGATGCATGTGGGCCGGAGAGAGAGATGGAGGAGATGCATGTGGGCCGGAGAGAGAGAGGGAGGAGAGATGCATGTGGGCCGGAGAGAGAGATGGAGGAGAGATGCATGTGGGCCGGAGAGAGAGGGAGGAGAGATGCATGTGGGCCGGAGAGAGAGAGAGAGGAGAGATGCATGTGGGCCGGAGAGAGAGAGAGGGAGGAGAGATGCATGTGGGCCGGAGAGAGAGAGGGAGGAGAGATGCATGTGGGCCGGAGAGAGAGAGGGAGGAGATGCATGTGTGCCGGAGAGAGAGATGGAGGAGAGATGCATGTGGGCCGGAGAGAGAGAGGGAGGAGATGCATGTGGGCCGGAGAGAGAGAGGGAGGAGATGCATGTGTGCCGGAGAGAGAGATGGAGGAGAGATGCATGTGGGCCGGAGAGAGAGAGGGAGGAGAGATGCATGTAGGCCGGAGAGAGAGAGATGGAGGAGAGATGCATGTAGGCCGGAGAGAGAGAGATGGAGGAGAGATGCATGTAGGCCGGAGAGAGAGATGGAGGAGATGCATGTGGGCCGGAGAGAGAGAGGGAGGAGAGATGCATGTGGGCCGGAGAGAGAGAGGGAGGAGAGATGCATGTGGGCCGGAGAGAGAGATGGAGGAGAGATGCATGTGGGCCGGAGAGAGAGATGGAGGAGATGCATGTGGGCCGGAGAGAGAGAGGGAGGAGAGATGCATGTGGGCCGGAGAGAGAGAGGGAGGAGAGATGCATGTGGGCCGGAGAGAGAGAGGGAGGAGAGATGCATGTGGGCCGGAGAGAGAGAGGGAGGAGAGATGCATGTGGGCCGGAGAGAGAGATGGAGGAGATGAGACTTATTAGGTTTTGGATCAGTTCTTTAGAAATAGTGGTGACTCATGTCGGGTGTTTCTCTCGTAGTTATCTTGAACTCAGTGTGGTGTGTTTGTGATGAGGCTTTCTTCATAACTCTATTTACTCACTTCATCTCTGTGGGACTTTGTTGCTGTACATATTTTTAAATACTTTTTTATTATAAACTGTTGCTCCTTTCTCTACAAAACAACCACTTCAACCAGCACAGCTAATACACTTTAATTCATATATATATATTTCTGTATTGTATTTCCTATTATTATTATTCTACGGTTTCTATATCTGTGTCTTATACTCAGTGATTGATATGTGATGGATTCTTGCTCTACTTGCTCTTATTTTTTAACTCAAATGTATTTTACTATGTTTATTTTAGTCATCAATTCAAAGAAAATGTGAAACCATACTTGGCAAGGAACTCATTCTGACTCTAGAGCTTCTTCACGGGGGAAAGAGGGGATACAAACACTAACATCTGTGTGATTACACTCAAAGCCGCCATGCAGAGAAAATAATCCCCCTCGTTTGTCATCCTGGATGCTATCATTCCAGTCCTTCCTTATTTAAAGGGACTGATATTCAAATATATATGTTATTATAAATGTATCTTGAATGACTTTTTTCTGTACGTCTGTTTATTGTCTAATGAACTCTCCCTGTGCCCCCCCCCCCCCCCCCCCCCCCTGCAGCAGACCTCTGTGTGGCCCAGTTGGTATGGAGCTCAGGATGATCTGTCCACAGAGGAACCCTCCGCCACCGCCCTGCCTCCAGATGCTTCCTTCTCACAGCTCGACATGCCCCCTCCATACGAGGCCGTCTCTGGAGGTAACACACACACACACACACACACACACACACACACACACACACACACACACACACACACACACACACACACACACATACACACTAGGGATGGGAATGATGAATTGAACATTCAAAATGATTCAGGTATTCGAATATGAGTTGTGAATATTCTTATTGTAATTCAACATTTTTTAATGGGAGGGGTTGATTAAGTTGATTACATATTATAAAATGAATTAATTAAATTTATACGAAAGTGCCCTTTTTAAATGTGTAACGTTACCAGGGGTTAAATTGTGCCGGGGCTGTTTGTTGATTTCCACACACTTGATATTTCGCAAGTGTGCAGAGCAATGCTGATTTAAAATAGCAAGTTGAAGGTTGGATATTTTTAAACCTTTTTTTGTGTATATATTAATAATTTAATATATACCCTCGCACCTCCACAGAGAGCCCCCCCCCCCCCCCCATATCAAATCCCAACTTAACACCTGAACGTTACACTCTACAACGAAAATGTATTCATTATTAAAAAAACAATTGTGTTGCTTTCAAATTCCCATCCCTAACACACACACACACACACACACACACACACACACACACACACACACACATACACTTGAACACAGTATCATGCGTCTGCCTGCTTCCTCCTTCAGCATGTGGATCAAAAGTCAAGCTCCATTCTTATTTCTACCCCTCGTACGTCTTCTTTGTGGATTTCCTGTAAGCCACAGCGGTAGTAACGGGAAAGTCCTCCTTGTTTTATTTCTGAATATCCCCCACGGTCGGTGTGTTTACATACTTTCACTTTCACTAACTGTAAGCAGAGGTCACTGAGAGGCCTGCAGTGGAGGTGGCTTTCATAGATGTGTGTTTCTGAAAAGGAGAAGATAGTTGAGCATTTGTTTCAACATGCAATCTCTACTGGAACAGAAACACTGTGGCTTCACTGAAACCACACAGAAGTAGAAATGCTACTTTAAACCTCAAACTAATCTTACATGTTCTAAGGAATCTCTCAACTCCAGCCACCACCCTGTAAACACCACTATTATAATGGCTCCATCAGAATCTGAAGTGTTATTCATGAGTCAAGCACTTCTATCTGTATCTCTCACACACACACACACACACACGTGCGCGCACACACACACACACACACACACACACACACACACACACACACACACAGACACAGACAGACGCACACACACACACACACAGACACACAGACGCACACACAGGCAGACACACATACAGACAGACACACACACACACACACACACACACACAGACACAGAGAGAGCTTTGTTCGCTTTAAAAGTACACAGTGTGTCAGTAACTTAGTCACAATGAATCAAGCCGCTTCAAGGTTTTCCGACATGCCTCGATGTGTCAGTGAACTCATTTCTGTTGTCTGTTTCTTGCTGTGAGAAATAATCACACACTCAACACACACTCCTGGTGCTTAAGGAGCAACCCGTTCTTTACCATTTCAGCTTCTTCATTCTATGTTCTTTCAACACACTGTGGGGTTATGAAAGATGGGCGCAGTGAGATAGATCAGCTGTTGTTTCTCCTCTTCTGCAAATTGCCTCTAATTTGATCTGAAGGTCTCGTTGTGTCTGACAGCAGGATGTGGTGATGGAGTAGTGACTCTCAGCCTAATTGTGTTTCATGCAGCCTCGTTTTCACCCCCACTGATGATCTTCTTTCTCTCAGAGATACAACAGGGTGACTCAGGGCTTCCTGTCATGTATATTTAGTTGAACTTTGTTAGTGCTTGCATGTATAATAATACCTGCACGTAGAGCTAGACATCTCTGCATCTCTTTCAAAATGCGGCGGTGCAGACTCATATTGTCTTCATCCATTTGTAATTCTATGACCAACAGATATCTTTCAAAATATGGCTTTACAGTCGAATACTAAGGTGGCGTCTGAACCGAAATGTCAGATTGATAAACAGAGAGAGGGTGTGGTGTACCAGAGTTAGTGTTAATTTCGTTGACTAAAACTATGACGAAATATGTTCGTCAACGACCTTTTTTTCCATGACGAAAACGAGACGATGACGAGACGGCACCGACGGCAGTAAACAATAACTGTAACGAAATCATCATGCAATATCGTTGACGAAAAGTGACGAGACGAAAATGTAGTTCACTAAATAAAAACTATGCCAAAATCTCTCTTTACTTTCGTTGACGAAAAATGAGGAGACGAAATATTATCAAAGATAACGTAACATCTCTGAAAGTCAGTTTTTCTCCCATCAGTTCCATTTCCGGTGCTGCGGCTGGGCAGCAGCTGTGTGTCTGTGCTGCGCGCGGCGGCACATTTGAATTACACCGGGCCAGCGGCACACTGTGAATTGTCAGGAAGACTCGGGTCTAACTCATGGTCTAACTAACCTTATTTAACAGAAAATAAAATGGCAATAACAGGGATTGGGAGCAGTGGTCGCACTCGCGTTAACCGAATACCCCCCCGTCAGCGCGAGTGAGTGATAAGTTGTGCACTCGACGGGTAATAATGGATTATGACGGAAATGTCACGATCCTGTCTGTCAAAATGACTGACAACGAAAAAGTCTAAAGCCACCACTGCTTGGGAGAAAGAAACGATGTGATATGTCCCATTTTCGCTACAATGAGGCGGAGAAAAAAAGCGAATGCATTGTTTTATCAGAAGGGAAGCAATGTGGCCATAACACAGCTGGTAAAAACACCACAAACCTGACCACTCTCTGCAAAGCTGCATTCTTAATCATTCAACCTGTGTTTTTCATCAAATAAGGACAAGATATAATCTTATTGTAAAAATAAGTTTGACTAAAATGACAAATTATTGGTTTTGGCTAGACTAGTTTGACTGAAATGTTCAATATAATCTGATGACTAAAAAAGACTCAACAGTTTTCATTGACAAGTAGACTAAAATAATTAGTTTTCTTCGACTAAAATAAGACTAAAATGCTCAGACTTTTAGTCGACTAAAACTTGACTAAATAAAAACAGGATGAAGGTGACTAAATATGACTAAAACTAAAAAGGAAATTTAACGCAGGACTAAGACTAAAACTAAATTAAAAAATAGCTGACGAAATTAACACTAACCAGAGTGCTCTTTTGTAAATAATAATAATACTTTTCCACAATTAAGAGCTTGCACTGCATTCATTTCATGAGCAGTGCAAGTGGTGGCATTTTCCACAACACATATTTCAGAATAAAAGCCAACATCAAGGGTTTTATTCTGAAACTGGAAATATTGATTTCATTCCTGTGACAGATTCTCCATATAAAGACATTGAAACTGTGGTAATATTGACAGTATGGCGTCAATATACTGTCAAAATATCATTTTCACTGTCTATTCTTGCCTTAATTTGCATGCGACCAGCAAAGAAGTAGGCGAGTTTGAATCTCTTAGGGAGACGCAGCCGACTCGCAGCCTGAGCCGCTCACGTGGTCAGTGTTAGATAATAACTTTGAAGGAGAAGAAACACTTCAAACTTTAATCCATTTTTGAGTGCGACGGAGGAGTCAGGATTCCACAGCTCTAGGGTCAGTTTCCTCTAACATCTCTGTCTCTCCTCACTGTCACTGGGTTTCTGAGTTCCTTAAAGTTTCACCGGGTATAGCTCCTGTATCTCTCACCTGTGCTCAGTTTGTCACACACACTTTTCATTTGGTGAAGCAGCTAAGGGAACGATGGGAGTGATAGTTTTGATGCAACAGTAGAAGTGTTATCTCTGAAAAACTAGATTGTAGGAGAGATTGTAACCTTTTTAATAACCGTGATGTATTTTTGACCTTATGCAAATTGATTTAGAGACCGCAGATCATCTCCTTGACCCGTTTCCTTCTTCTTCCCTTCCAGAGGACGACCTGAAGCCCCCTCCCTACAGCGAGTGTGCTCACCACGACGAGGCGGACGCTCCTCGCTCCCCCCATCACACTGTCGTCATTTCCGAGGGAGACACCATTAGCATAAATGAAGCCCCGCCCCCTTACACACTGTCCCCCCCTGCTGTCAGTCAGCCAGACGTCCCTGTGAACCACAATGAGTCCGAGAGCCGCCCCAATTAAACCCCCCGAAACCCTCCTCTATGCCAGTATGCCTTTTCCATGCACTGCCTTCCTACATTCAACCATCTGCCAGCCTGCCTCTCGTCACATGAGAGCAGATCTCTGGGTGTGTGTGTGTGTGTGCTGGTTTCTAGAAGTTTTTCTACTTGTCTGACGAGATAACGGGGGACATGAGAAGCCTGCGTGCCTCAGTTTTGACCTGCCTCCCAGCGAGGATAAAGACCTCGAACGGCCCGTCCACACGGCAGCGTGCGTTTTTTAATGGGGTGACGCGTGGCGGGAGATTAATGTGATTGGTTGTTGGTCGCGCTTCAGACACGGCTTCAAGCTTCAACGCACGCTGCCGTGTGGACGCTGTGTAAGATCAGAGGAATCAGAGCGACGCAGATAAGCAGAGAGTGTGTTAAATAAATAAAAGTGGTCTCCCGCTCTACGTCTGACTTCCTCTCTCAGATCTAAACCCGTTAACTATGTTTGAGAAATGTTTTTAGTTCCTGTGATACATAATCTGTCGGACATCACTTCGTCTTTTTGTGAAGCTGCAGACATTTGTTCTGAAAACTAAAAAAGAAACTGCAAACTCTCCCTTTTATTAACATTAAACAACTCATAGCGATTAATAAGACTTCACCTCGCTGTGAAATATGAAATCGTTTGAACAGTTTTATCTTGAAACAACTCTCATCGAGGAACTATTTGATAACGAATGCACTAATTGTCTTAAATAATGACCTCATTAGCATAAGTGGTTATGTTTAATATATCATGGTGATTATTCCGGGACGTTAGGCTTTTCAAGTGCCTATTACATCTGTGAGGGGAAGTGAGCGAGGACAAGCGGAACAAGTGAAATCAAATTAACATTTATGAGCTATTTTTTTTTTTTCTCTGATCACCTCGGCTGCTTTAACTAAACGCCTGAAAAGGGAGATTCTGTGTATTTAGTCTTTCCAGATAGTTGCGGGGTCAAACAAAAGGTTGCTTTTTCCCCTCGACACATGAAAACATATTTCCTGTGGCTGTAAAAGAATCCGATCAGTTGTAATGTTGAGCTGAAGGATTGATTTGAGAGAAATATCAAGTGGAAATGGAGCCGACGGTTGAAAATTCAACAACAAATCTCAGTTATTAATTTCTATTTGCATTATATTTGCAAAAGAGACTAACCAAAAACTGTTTTTTAACAACAGCACCCTGTAACGTCCCTGTTAATCTTCCACAGGCTGGCAGTGGACTTTGTGTGTTTGCTCTCATGTTGCTTTTGGAAAAGGTTGTTACCCTGCATCTCAGATAATCCAGAAGCAGCCCTCTCTTATCCGTTTCACTTCCTGTGTTTGTTACCGTATAATCCGTGTATGAATTCTGAATATTATTAAGAAACATGAATGCTGTGTAGGTGTGTTTTGGGGGAAAAGTATATAAAAGGGGATTTTTGTGAAGAATTGAATGTGTTTTGTGATGACAAATCTCGGGGCATCGGTCACTGATGCCTTTTTAAAAAACCTTTCCTGTGGTTTTTCTGAATGTAGATTTTGAACTGCGTTGACAGCATGGTGGTGATTAGATCATGAATAATTACAGGCTCCTCTGTAATGTCCGTCCTGTGTGTTCACTTCATGTTCATTCCCACGGTGGAGACATATCAAATCCACTCAGCTGTGTGAGGAACGGGAACTGATCTGTGTTTTGATTTGGGGAGAGGTTCTTCTTCTGTATTAAACTGTTGTTATATATAATACTGATGAGTTGTTTTCTGATTGTGTTGACCTTGTGTTCAAAGTCTTAACATCCTGTACTGAGGAACAAAAGCAACACTCTGCTTCCAAGATAGACGTATTCACCTTATTTCACACATAAAATAAGGCCGTCATTTCAAAGGATTTATTTCAAATGATACTAAATTACTTATAATATTACTTATTTTAGCAATTGACTATAGTTTGTGTTCTTGATGACTTTACTTTCTCAACATTTTAAATTAACCTTGTAAGTTGTATTTTAGGGGAAAAAGTTGTGTTTGCCAGAATTTCGCTGACAGATCTTTTGTAACCATTTCTACTATTATTAGTAAATGTATAGCTCTTATGTTTGTAGTTTTTATTAACCATATAAATGCAAACTTATACCATATAAAGACACGCTGTCTTGCTATAAAATCAATATGAAATTACCGTAAAAGTTCCTTTTGAAAGCCTTTTTTTAGTAGGAAATTCCCTCTTATTTTTTATCGCAGGCACTCTCTTATTGCCCAATGAATCACAGAGGGAATTTCCTACTGAAAATATTCATTTTGATTTGTGTTACTCTATAAAACTGTCCTGTAGATTTAGTCACCTATCTCGTACAGATAGGTGACTCAGAGGTTGATTTAATTTGATTTAATCTTTTTAATGGCTTTTCATTTGGGTTAACTTTCAATTCTCACTTGTATCATTGTCCATGTTTTACTGTATTTGTGTCTCTTTTGCTTTTATTTTACATTTTTCATTTTACATTTTAACATATTATCACTGTAGATGTTTCATCTTGTTCTGTATTCATTTTAATATTATTTTAATATTGTTGTTATGTTTTCTATAAAGCACTTAGGGCTGCTTTTTGCATGAAAGGTGCTATACAAATAAAGTTTATTATTATTGCAGTGCCCAAAAAACCTGAAATGCACATGTGAGTATTGTTTAAAGATGAATGTGTAATGCTGCGTTGATCCACTAGAGGGCAGTGTTGCACCAGATATGATTTCCTCCCGCAGTGTGCAGCGTGCACCTGTTGCTGAGAAGACACGGCTCCTGCTTCAGTATTGATTCATGTCTTTTATAACTCTTCTTGTGACAGGAATGACATCGACATTTGCTCCAACGTTTTATTCTTGAGATGGAAAAAATAATTGGTCTTGATCAAGATCAATCGCAGCCCTCATGTGGAAAGTATAGCAGCGGAGTGGAAACTCAAGGACATTCATTTGTCATATCTTAGTCTCTCAGCTGCTGCATCACTAAGCTGCATACAAATCACAATGTGTGCACACTTGATTATACAACTTTTTTTGGGAGCCGAAATATAGTTTGCAGTCAAATCTGATAACAACAGCAGAAGAGGAATTAAAAAAAACGTGGAGCTCTCGGGATTGTGCAAGAAGACGCTCATGTTATTAAAATATAATTAGGAATTAAAATGCACTTGCATGCTTTATCTAATATGTATGCAGGTAATCCACCAGGATCCATCCTTCATTCACTCCTGTATTCATGTGTGTGAGTGTCAGTGTTAAATACAGTTAGATAAGCACTCTGTTTGTCACTCCTGCGCTTAGTAATTGATGCTTTCAGGGGAAATATTAGCATTTTGGGAAACAGGCAGCAATCCATCATTCAAACTGCCTTACTAATCATTACATCCCCGGTATAAACATCTGCATAATGGATACAACACGGTACACTCCGCTCAAGGATATTCTGCGAGCCCATCCGGAGATTATTGAGGTCTTCAAGGCCGTTTGAGCAACACAAGAGACGTCTCAATTACCCTCTGTCGTCCCTCAAAGATGTATCGCTCTGCCAGGCCTTGCATATAGTCACTGCACCGTTTATAGGCATGCAGTGGTAGCGGAAAAATAGTCCACACCTTTTATAAATCCGGCTTGAAAAGCACATTCCAGGCTTGGGTGAGAGTGGATAAGATGTCAAAAAAAACATGCCTGGTATTGATTTCCCCCCTCAGAGTCATTTCAGGAGGGGATAGCCGTCTCAGAAGGTGTGAGTGTACACTGTTTACATTTACACCCGGACACAAATTCATATTGCATACAGAACACTTTAATGCAAGTCATTTAATTCATAACAGATGTCTGCCTCTCCCTGTCTAAACATCACTACTTCTTCTACTTTATTTACTTGGTTCATTGTGATGTAACTAAAGTCTGTAATGTGCATTTAAAGTTTGTAAAAACAGTAAGGAATTGGAAGCGCTCAAATTGTGAGCGTGCCATCTGTTTCAAACCATATTTAAAGATGCAGTGGTTTGGTTAAGAAGTAAAATAGGTTTGTTCTTTTGTCAGTTTTTGTCATCTGTTTTCCTACCAAGTCTCCAAACACTAGCATATGATTAAGGATTAGAAACCCTGGTGAATCATGTCTGTGTTAGCCCTTTATTGGATGTAAACTGCAGACTAAACGGTTTCTCTGGAACACAAAGCGCTGTGTTACCACTGATGTCTGTTTGCTTCTCATATGACAAAGTGGAGTAATGAAAAAAGCATTGGACATGTACTCTTAGGTACTTTGTGTTAGTACACTTAACTTGATCTCCTTTTTATCTACTTCATAATCAAGTACAAATCATGTCAGAACATATTGTAAAGTTGTCCATCACATCATCTAAAATCAAGTTAATGTCTTCAAATAATACAGATATTCACTTTGATATGATGTTAAACAGAGAAAAGCAGTAAGTCTCTATGTTTGAGGCTTAAGAGCAGCATTTCTCAAATGATTGCCAAATCTCTTTAAAGGTCCCATGTCATGCTTTTCTGGTTATCACCCGTCCCCTTGTGTGCTATGAAGGTTTTTCTGCATGTAAACGGTCTGCAGAGTCGCAAACCCTCAAAGTACACCCTGTAGCGAGTAAAACTCTAACACAGAAAAGACCTGTCTATGCTGCCCCAGAACGCCTCGTTGGGGATTTCTCTTTTTCCATTTGTTTACTTCTTGGGTATAGTGACGTATTTCGGGTATAGTGACGTTACGTCCGCGGAGCCGTTACGTTTGGACCAATCCGCGGACTTCCTCACACACACACACTCGGCGGGACGTTGCGAAGGCTCGCTGCTGCGAGGAGCGGGACACTGTGAGCTGGCTCACTGGTGTGGGGTCGGCGAGACACCGCGGAACTCAGCCTGGGCACACACACAAACTCCCAGCCAGGCTGCGGGTGTGTGTGTGTGTGTTTCGGGCTGGGTTTCGCTGTGTCTCGCTGTCTCGCAGACGGCCACTGGGCTCACAGGGAGAGGGAGTGGGGGGCAGGAGCTCCAACAAGCCGTTTAGGACAGAGAGTGAATACACATGCTATACAGAGATGCTGTATGAGAAACCAATGTGAGTTTGGAACATTGCACAATATAAATGTATTCTAGTAGACCTCAACAATGGAATTATGATCAGTAGAAATGGCCATGACATGGGACCTTTAAATAATTATTCGATTACCAAAATAGTTTGCTATTATTTGTATCAACCAATCGCTTAGTCGACTATTCAAAGATAAGTGAAGGGCCGAGTCAGAAAGAGTGATGCTTGTGAAGGAAAGTTAGGGGACTGAAAACATGTTTCCCTTCAGTCAAAACAGTGTGTGTGGTTGTCTACACACACACACACACACACACACACACACACACACACACACACACACACACACACACACGCTGTTTTTACATCTGCTGTCTCCCAGCTTTCATCACCATCAGGTGTCAGCAGCATGATGAGCACCTTCATCACGTCTCCTCCTCCTCCTCCTCCTCCTCCTCACTGATGCGATCTAGAGGGCAGGCTGTGTGATGACAGATAAGTGAGGATGTCTCAATGTCAGGAGGAAGGGGTACTATTTACTCAAGTACAATGTTAACATACGCGTACTTGTACATACTTGTATTTTTAAACGTATCTGTTTTATGCTATGATGCAGTACTACTAATCCACCTAGTACAAAGTATTTCAAATGGACTGCTTGATGAGCTACAACATTAAAATCCCCTTTATTAAAAACCAAATACATTGCAGAAAGCTAAAATTAACTACAATGTGGATATACTTTTTTCTACTTGGGTACCTAAGTTACTTTGTACGTAATATATAATATGTTATATACGAAGTACTGTACTACTACGCAGCACACAGTATCTAAAATACACACAATGCACACTGAGTATACTTTAGATACTTACAGTGCATATTGCTGATCCTTTTATCGTGCTTTTAGTTAGATAACATGTGTATTCAGGACTTTAACTTGTCATTTCAGACTTTGGTATTTAGTTTACAGTCTGAGTACTTTTTTCATTTGACGGGATGCAGACAGGTGTGTGTTTGAGCTTGAGAAAGATATGGGTATTTCATATTAAATATGTATTTTACCTGCTGGATATAATCATTCTTAATGTCTCTGGATATTATTCCAGTCGCACCACATCGCAGGCGGTGCAGTGTGTGGGATGTTTTGCATTTTTGATCTAAGAAATATCCTCCGAATGTAAATCTGTCATCCAGCCAAGTGCGTTAGTGACTTATATCCACCAGAGGCGTAATCTGAATGATGGAAATTACACTCAGCTGAGAGTTGGTGCAGAAACAGTTTGGAGATGTTTTTCAGAGATGTTGTAATTCTTATCTGGAGTCAGTGTTCCATGTTGCATTTGCCCTTCAGCGTATTTGCTTTGTCGTGACGTGCATAGGCTTATTTTCTTTTTGGAAAGTACAACGAGTCGAAATAAAGTGTCAGCTCCTTGCAAACAATGTCTCTCCTGGCTGTGCAGTTTGTAGAGAAACTTCAAAGGAGCAGGTGCAGAGCAGATTGAGTTTTCTGGGAGCTGTCAATACGTAGGAGATATGTGTTTGTGCAGAAGCCTGTCAATCCCTCTGAATGTCCTGAATCCTCCGACCTCTGACCTTCTGTTAATCCCTCCTGTTCCCTGTTGCTCACCTGCTGTCCAACACAACAGATCCAGAGTCTGTTGGTGAAGAGACGCCTC